GCTGCTGCTTTCGCCGATGTAGACGATGAAGACAATTGCCTCTGGCTGCGTCGTAACGGCCTGGCTCGTCGCCGCTGCGGCTTTGTCCTTCGGAGGTGCCCAGCAGTCGCGTGCCCAGTGTCCAGTCTTTCCGCAGTTCCGGCAGACATCTGTCTTCTTCGCCTCTCTGCTCTTGCTCCGAGCTCTGTCTCCTTTTCCGCCTTGGTCACCTTTCCTGTCCTTTTCTTTCGCTTTGCCACCCTTCTGACCCTTTTCTCCTTTCTCGCCTTTGTTGTCCTTGTTGCCCTTGAAGCCTTTGTTGCTCTTGTCTCTGTCGCCCTTTCCGCCCTTGCCACCCTTGAAGGCATTCGCATACCCGGATGCTCCTTCTCTCTGGAAGTCCATCACACGAAGCTGCTCGTCGTAAAACTACAAACCAGTTATCAGCTCACCCATGCTCTTCGTTGAGTGATGGAGAAGCAGATATCTCTTGGTCTTAGAATCCAAGTGCTTCATCAGGCACAAGATTCCCTCTTGTTCTCCGATGAGCAACTCCGGGAAGCGATGCTTCACCTGCGCCTCGAACTTGAGAAGTTTGGTGGTGTACCACCTAGCGACATCAAGTGTCGCTTGAGGTGCTTTGGCAGCACCAGGCCAAATGCCTGCTCGCGAAGGGCTTGTCCTTCTACTCTGGAGCGAACGGACAACTCATTGTTCAGCGAACGCCAGAGTTCGTATCGAGCACTTGCTCCCATCTGCTTCACCTCGATGAGATGCACCAAATCCTGCCCACACTGGAACTTGCTCATGGACTGACGAAGCAAAAACTAAAGTTTGGTTGACCGAGCTGCCTTCCCGGCTTCAAGCTTCACTTGCAAAACTTCCACATTGCTACTAATCTCCTGCAACTCCGTAGCGTACCAGTCGTAGCAAACAAAGCCAGCTTGTAAGTTTGTCTTTGTAAGCTGTCCAAGATTTCAGCATGTCTACTCGTCATGGACGCAAGTTCAGCTGAGGCAACTGTGGAATGTAACCCTCTGCTCTCAGAGTCTACTTCCATATCCACAGGGGTCGATGCATTCGCAGATGCTGCTAAGGGGTCTTGTAGGACTCGTCGACGGTAAAGTTGTAGCTGCTGCAATATGTGCATTGGCAGCATTCGCACTTGCAAGCTGCAATGTCTGCGTCAGCATGGCACTCATCTGTTAAAGTTAAGCTGCCTGTTGCAGCATTGCTCTTGTGAACTCCATCTGTTGAGCTACTCCAGGTGCAAAGAGCAACTGCATATTCGGAACTTGAAGGGTTTGTACTGCTGTCTAAGGGGGGTGCCATCTGGTAGAACTAAGGTCCAAGCGAAGGCAAGTCTTAACTGGTGGCTGACCTAAGAGGTGCTAGGAACCTACCCCACAGTGTTTCGGAGTAGAAGTTCCATGGCTGAGTGTATTTACCCAAAGTACCTTTGTTTTCTCATGTCTGGCAGACAGTGTTCAAAGCTGGAGAGCCGTGCTCGCATTGGCTTAAGCCGAGCGAAGCTCGAGTAACTGCTGTGCCACGTGTTTGAACGTGGTAGCGGAGCTTTGTGCTCCAGCATGGACACCGTGTTCCTGGGTAAGAGGCCGCGGTGCAGCAGCCTCAGTTCCACAGGGCTTTCTGGTGCAAGGTCACCAAGTGCCCGTGGAAGAAGAGAAAACGTGGTCTTTGCTAGCACGACCACCTTTACTTCCACGCGGAGTAGACCCAACGCAGTGAACAGCTGCTCTGTGCAGACCTGAACTGGCTTGAGTCACTTCTAGTTACCAAATACCAGGTCACAAACAGGATACAAGTTCCGACAAACAAGTTTTGAGAAAACAAATTAAAAACGGTTCTTCTAAAAACAAGGTCTGCCTGACATGTTCTTATGTCCATACTTTACAGCAGACTTAGTCCTATTTTCTTTTTAGACCACTGCATTGCAGCAATGGGGCACGTGCCACGCATCCATTGGAAATTGATGGAATAACCTTGTTAGTGCCAACAAGGCCAAGTTTGCTGTTTGTAGATCTTGTGTGCCTGGAGAACATAGCGGAAGCTGCTAAAGTGGCTTCATCTTCGTCGAGTGCTGAAAGCTTGGGTGTTTCACATGCCGCGGAAAGCTTTGCTGTTTTTCGGGTGCTTGCTTGTTGGTTCGGAATTTCATCGATTCCAAGTAAGAATTAGAACGAAGACCTGCTTACTGTGCTGCTGATGTGGTACAGAAGCCAGCTTCAAAAACTAGAAGACGTTGGCCCGAAGCATTACAATTCAACGTCTAACATTCACATTTAAGTTACACAATATTTGCAACCGGAATTCAAGTTCCACGATATTTGCAAGGCGCCCGGAATTCAAGTCACGACATTTGCAAGGTTTCAAGGCCCCGGAATTCTAGCAAGGTTTCCGCCAATCAAGATTCCCGACAAGGTTACTGCCTTGTCCAATGTGGAAGAGCGTACACTTCAAGTACACTGGAAGAACACGTGCAAGCGCTCCGCATGGTGCACACAGACAGAATCTGTGCTGTCTGCTGCGGAAGCACGCTTAGCTTTTGCCTTGGATAATGCTCTGACTGGACAACTTCGGCAACCTCCAGTTCTAAGCGTGGCTAGCTTGAGCGCTGTTGGGCCCTCTCCGCTTCTTCGCTTCCTCTCTGCTTCTCAATTGCTGTGGAAGGTTGCATGGTAAATCAACAATTGCAATTCGGTAAAAAGGAATGGTAAAAGAACAAATTCGAAAAAGACTTGAAGTGTTGAACTGGAGTTAAAGCGTTTAAAAAGATCTTAAGTGAAGCAACGTGTCTAAGGTAAATTGCTGAATTGCTGCAATGCGCAGAAGGCCGCAGAGGAACCCGCAGAGGAGTAAACGGAGCGGAGGGAGCGGAGGGAGGACGAGGAGGAGAGGGAGAGGTGAAGAAGAAGAGAAGAGAGATAAGGAGAGGAGAAGAGGAAAAGAGGAGGAGAGGAGAGGAGAGAAGAGGAGGAGAGGAGGAGAGGAGGAGAGAAGGAGAGGAGAGGAGGAGAGGAGGAGGAGGAGAGGAGGAGAGGACCTTGTGTATTTTTACAACCTTTGATTGATGTGTTAATATCCCAATTAAAACTACTTGGCTTTAAGATTTTATTTTTAAGTCTCCTTGATAATATTTTTACACTGTATACAGTATCAATCAAATTAATAGTATTATGAATCAAATTCATGAATTTATTTAACTTATTATTGTCGAAATTATACGGATTTGTTCTAAACCAAATATAATATTCATACTTCAGTCATAAGACTTTATTTTTAGTCTTTTGGTAGCTTAGAGAAGAGGAGGAGGAGGAGAGGAGGAGAGGAGGAGAGGAGGAGAGGAGGAGAGGAGAGGAGGAGGAGAGGAGGAGGAGAGGAGGAGAGGAGGAGAGGAGGAGAGGAGGGAGGAGGAGAGGAGGAGAGGAGGAGAGGAGGAGAGAGGAGAGGAGGAGAGGGAGGAGAGGGAGGAGAGGGAGGGAGGGAGGAGGAAGGAGGGGAGGGAGGAGGAGGAGGGAAGGAGAGGAGGAGAGGGAGGGGAGGGGGGAGGGGAGAGGGGGAGAGGGAGGAGAGGGAGAGGGAGGGGGAGGGGGGGGCGGGGAGGGGAGGGGGGGGGGGGGGGGGGGGGGGGAGGAGGGGGGGGAGGAGGGGGAGGAGGGGGGGAGGAGGGGTGGAGGGGGGGGAGGAGGGGGGAGAGGAGGGGGGGAGGAGGGGGGGGGTGGGGAGGAGCGGGGAGGGGGGAGGGGGGGGGAGGGGGGGGGAAGGGGGGGAGGGGAGGGGGGAGGGGTGGGAGGGGGGGAGGTGGGGGGAGGGGGGGGGGGGGAGAGGGGGGGAAGGGGGGGGAAGGGGGGGGGGGGGGGAGGTGGGGGGGGGAGGAGGGGGGGAGGAGGGGGAGGAGGGGGGGAGGAGGAGAGGGGGAGGAGGGGGGAGAGAGGAGGAGGAGGGGGAGAGGAGGGGGAGAGGAGGGGGAGAGGAGGGGGGAGAGGAGGGGGAGAGGAGGGGGGAGAGGAGGGGGAGAGAGAGGAGGGGAGGAGGAGGGGGAGGAGAGGAGGGGGAGAGGAGGAGAGGGGGAGGGGGGGGAGAGGGGGGGAGGGGGAGAGAGGGGGAGAGGAGGGGAGAGGGGGGAGGAGGGAGGAGGAGAGAGGAGGGGGGAGAGGAGGGGGAGGAGAGGAGGGGGAGGAGGAGGGGGGGGAGAGGAGGGGGAGGAGGGGGAGAGGGGGGAGAGAGGAGGGGAGGAGGGGGAGAGGAGGGGGGGAGGAGGGGAGAGGAGGGGGGGAGGAGGGAGAGGGGGGGAGGGGGGGGAGGAGGGGGGGGAGAGGAGGGGGGGAGGAGGGGGGGAGGGGGAGGAGGGGGGGAGGGGGGAGGGGGGGAGAGGAGGGAGAGGAGGGGGGAGAGGGGGGGGAGAGGAGGGGGGGAGGAGGGGGGGAGAGGAAGGGGGAGAGGAGGGGGGGAGGAGGGGGAGAGGAGGGGGAGAGGAGGGGGAGTGTTTAGGATTTTCCCGATACAGCATGCCCAGATATTATGTTTTGCAGTTGTTTTAGCTGTTGCTCCCATGTAGCATGTGACTTGAGTGATTCGAATCTGCAGGCGTCTTTACGGATTCAAAAGTTTTTCATGGTAGCGGAGCCCGGGAAACGGGAAAGCCCGAGCTTCGAGACACGTCGTTGGGGTCTCTAGCATCTTTTGGGTGCGTTCGGGGGCCCAGGCTTTCTGGGGTCCTTTGTAGGAAGTGAGCCGTAGCTTGCGCCATATTGACCTGCCGGCTGGACAGCCGGCAGAGCAAGAGGGTCCAAATTTCGAACGAGACCTTGGACTGATCGAACAGTTGTTGGCAGAGGACAGCCGGCCGACGTTTAAGAGAGCGTTGCAGTCTTCGCCATCTGTTATCGATCTGTGTGAAACGCAACCTGCCAAGTTCCAAAGATCCTTAGTGCCCCAGACCGAAGCTGTGGATCTTGAGAGTGAGTGAGAGATTCCCGAAGTGCTTGATTGCTGCTGTGATGGCATCGCAAGATGACATAAGCGATCTTGAGGTTGACCCTGGCCAAGGCGTGCACTTGCCCCAAGGTGCACAGGCGAGCCAGGCTTCAGCGTCAGCAGCACAGAATCCGTTCAGCCCTGGCAGTCCGCAAGCGCAGGGTATGTATGTGACGCCAGATGATATGATGACCATGATGAGACAGATGATGGAGGCGACGACTGCAGCGGCAACCGCTGCACAGGCTGCCCTGAGTGCAGCAACGTCGCAAGGCAATGCAAAGCAGGGAATTGCAGGCAGTGACATGGCCCGCATTCTCCCGAAACCCGATGTGTTTAAGCCTGCCACGAGAGAGGAAGAGCATGGCATGTGGCTGCAGTGGTTTTGGAGCCTCAAGCAGTACTTGTGTGCCCTTGATTCTGCTTTTGGAGATGAAATTGCATATCTTGAGCAGCACCCTGATGAAGAGGGTCAAGGGTATAAAAGTCCTGAGGCAGCCCAACGATCCAAGCAGCTGTTTGCACTCTTGTGCAGCCTTGTGAAGGGCAGGGGCCTGCAGCTGATCCAGCGAGTGCCTGCCCAGTCAGGCTTCGAGGCCCTGAGGCAGCTCATCCAGCTGTTTCAGCCGACGTCGAGAACGCGATCGCTTGGCATCTTGAGTGCAATCACCAGCATGAACCACTTCAAGGGCAATGAGCCATTGTTGCCTCAAGTCTTAGATATGGAACGTATCTTTGAGGAGTATGAACGCAGTAGCGGCAAGAAATTGGACGATGATTTCAAGACCAGTATTTTTCTTCGTTCAATCACCCAGAGCATGCGCAACCATCTCGCGACAATTCTTACTGAAGATGTCACGTATGATGCCTTGAGGGAAGCCGCCTTGCGTTTTGAAAGAATGAATGCCAAGTGGGATGCTCGCAATCTGTTTGCAGGAGACAGCCTCTTTGCCAACAGGAGGCAACCTGCAGGGCCTAACGATGGGCCCGTGCCGATGGAGGTCGATGCATTGCAGCGCAAGGGTAATCCTAAGGGGTATAAGGGTAAGCCAAAGGGTCCTAAGGGTGGTGGTTCACCTAAGGGTACTAAAGGTCCCAAGGGAGGAAACCCTAAAGGCCCCAAGTCCGGCAAGCCTAAAGGCAAGGGCAGAGGCGACAAAGGCCAGAAAGGAAACCCCAAAGGTCCTGATGCAGGCAAAGGTGCCCGACAGAATGTCATCTGTCATGCATGCGGCAAGCGAGGGCATTACAAGAGTGAGTGCTGGCAGAACGTGCAACATGTGCAGGGAGATGATGCGAGCACCACTGCCCCCAGCACGGCTGGACCGTCAGCGTCGCAAGTCAGGCCATCTCCTGACACCAGCACAACAATGCGTTCTGTGAACATGGTTCAGATCGACATGACGAGTGACTGGTGCGGTGGAAGCATCAATGCACTCACCGCGGACTCTTGTCCCGCTGCCGGGGATGATTTCCTCAAGGTTGTCAAGTCGCTAGCCCTGATCCCGCACGGGTACCCTAGCCTCCCCAACCTTGTGCCAGTGCAGGAGAGCAACGATCTCGTTGCGATTGCCGAGCCAGAATGCACAGTGTTTGCTCAGGCGATTGCCGAGCCAGAATGCACAGTGTTTGCCCAGCAGTGCGGTGTTGAGGTCTATGATATGTCAGCAACAGACGGTGATGAAGATTGGACCGTTTGTGGTGGTGTGCTTCCTGCCACAGCCACTACGGATGCTTGCCTGTGCACTCCTCACTATCCTTCCAGCAACCCTGCTACGTTCTTTGTTCAGACAGTCCAGAGCACAGCAGGCCAGCAGGGTGGATGCAGGGATATAGAGATAGTGGTTGATTCGGGTTCGGATGCATCCTGTCTGCCACTGTCCTGGGGAGATGTAGGCATCGAGTGCGCCAACAGCCAGGAGAACTTTAGAGATGCGCAGGGGCACCCGATCACTGGTTCCAAGACCCGCATGGCTGTTCTGCAAATCGGGCAAGTGCAGTTCAAGGAGAGATGGCTGCTGAGCAGTGTCAGCCGACCATTGTTTTCGGTTGGCAAGTTGATGAAGCAAGGTTGGAACATCATTCATGATGAGCACGGCGTGCCTCACTTGATGAATCCCGATGCGTCCTTGCGTGTCCCCATGCGCTACTGCCACAACAGTCTGCACGCGACTGGAATGATTTCCAGCGTGACGGCGTGTGATGATCGTGGGCCTTCTGTCTTGGCCCTCGAAATTTCTGGTCCGTGGCTTGCGTTGAATGATCGGTTTCAGGAAGTGACATCAGGCGTGTATGCCAGGCGTGACATGTCCGACTGCCTTCTTGATTGCACTGTCCCTTTGACGCACTTAGGAGTCCAGTTCCGGACTACGCTAAGGCAAGAGGCGAGTGGCTGGGCTGTTTTCGAACTGAACACGCCGCTGAGCTCACTTGACCTGTCAGAAGCTTCCTTTGTGCCGAGCCGTATCCACAATATCATCACCATCGGATCATGCAGCAAAATCAACATCGATGAACTGTTTGGGAGAGTGCCGCCAGCCCGGCGAGACCATGTATCGGAAGATGCAGAGTCCGATGCAGGGTTACCAGACGTTCCGATAGGTGAAGTTGGCAACATAGCGGGACCCGATGACGAAATCCAGGAAGGAGATGAGCTTCCGGGGCAAGAGGCGGAGGAAGTGATGCAGCCGGCCATGCGTGCACGTGTGGTTGTGGAAGGGGTTGAGCTTCATGAGGGATGCACCTTGTCCACATTGCGAGCTGCTTGCACGGCATTGGGCATCGGCAAGAGTGGAGGCAAGGCGACCGTCTTGCAGCGCATCCACAACTTCATGGACCGCCAGAGATTGCTCGAACGACATCAGGTCGAGGATGCAAGAGTCCAATTGCCCCGAGAGCAAGCACCCGTTTCTGAGCCTACACCTGAGGAAATGCGTCGCCACGCATTGTCGCATATCCCTTTCATGCCTTGGTGCGAGCACTGCATCAAGTTCCAAGCCCGTGCTGACCACCATGTCCAAGCAAGACCAGATGTTAGGGCGTGTAGCACATGTTCGTTCGACTTTGCCTTCACTGAGCGTGAAACCGGTCGCCCCGGTGACAAGTTGATCTGCTTAATCCTCAAGGATTCACACACAGGTGCCACCTGCGCGATCCCTACACCAGCAAAGGGAGGAACAGTGGCGTTCAAGTTCATGGTTGCTGAAGTGTGTAAATTCTTGAATTTTTGTGGACATACGGAAATCGCCTTGAGATCAGACGGCGAACCGGCTTGTCTTGCTTTGCAGCAAGGGGTAAAAGAGTTGAGGTCGCGGATGAAACTTGATACGCATCTTGAACAACTGGAGGCCGCTGACCACCAAGCAAACCCCAGCGAGCAAACCGTGGATCAGCTCAGGCAGCTCACGGGAACGCTGCTAAGCCAAGTTGAAGCCGAGACTGGCCAAAAGGTCAGCACGATGTCTCCACTCCATGCGTGGGCGTGGAAGCACGCGTGTTGGCTGCAGATGCGCTACGGGCGCAGTGGATTTGCCAGTCCGTTTGAAGTGATAACAGGGCGCCCGTACAATGGCAAAGTTGTGGGGTTTGGAGAGGTTGTTTTCGCAAGGATTAAGAGTTCTATCAAGGGCAAAGCCAGATGGATAAAGATGTTGTGGTTGGGAAAGTTGGGGGTATCAGATTTGCATTTTGGAGTCACACCTGGAGGTTTCTTGATTTCCAGCAGGAGCGTCAGACGGCTGCCAAAGCAGTACGATGCATCTTTGCTTGAGTCACTGCGTGACATGCCATGGAGTCAAGCAAGCTTCCTTGCAGGGCAAGTCGGCCAGGCCAGAATGCAGAGAACCCCTGTTCGAGGAGAAGAAGAAGAGGTGCAACAGCCTCTGCCTGAGGTTGTGTTGCCTGAAAGACCACCACTTCCATATCCCGGTTATGTCCTGCCTGACAATGCACCGCTTGAAGAACTGATTCCTCCACCAGCCATCATCGCTTCAGGCACGCCCGAGCCGCCTACACCTGTTCGAACAGATGCCGAGACACCTATCCCTGCGGCTGCCGAGCCTAGCACGCCCATGCTTGTTGATTCCGATGCACCACCACCACAGCAGGAGGCCAGTGGAGCTCGCGCTTCTAGTGGTTTAGGGGGTGTTAGTGGTTCTAGTGAGGCGTTGGGTGCTCCTGGTCATGCACCGGAAGCAAGGCCGCCAGAGGCAGGCGGGGATGGTCAGCCTGAACAGCCAGCACCCAAAAGGGCACGAATCCGGTTGCGCTTAGATGCAGTTCAAGTGGACAAAGACGGCAACGAACTACACAATGTCGATGAACAGATTGAACTCTTCGATGAGGCTGCTGAAGGTTTCATGGACTGTGAGGAGTCCGAGGCTTGGGACAACTACGACGATGACGCTGGTGCATCACCGAGTGCAGAGATTCCCAGTTGCTTGATCAGACCCTTTTCCCAAACGGAGCCACAATGCAGTCCGGAGGAGTTGCAATACATCGACGAAATCGCTGACAACTTTGAGCTGAGCAGACTGACGAACATGCACGTGCTGAGTGAAGTTCAGAGCAAGCTTGAAGATCACAGAGTTTTGTCGTCGAAGAGTGTGAGATCATGGCGGCCGAAAGTGCTAAACCAGGAGAAAGTTTGGGTTCGCAGAAGCAGATTGGTTGCCAGAGAGTTTGCGTGGTTGGATAAAGGCAGAAGTGGATTGTTTGCACCGACCACTGCGCAAATCATGTTGCGTGTGGTGCCAGGTCTTTTCATGCGAATGCGCGATCAAAACTGGAGCATGCTATCGCTAGATATTGCAGATGTCTTTCTGCAATGTGCTCAGGCACACCCCACGTGCACGAAGGTGGGAAACGGATGGTTCAAGCTCGACCGCATGCTACCCGGTCAACGTGACGGGAGCGTCACGTGGTTTGCAGATTTCACAGAGGAGATCAAGCGTGCAGTTGGAGCTGAGTTGCTACCCGAGCAACCAGCACTGTTCAGACTGCCAGAGTCTGAAGGTGGCGGCATGGTGCATGTAGATGACATGATGTGCGCAGGACGCTCAGATAAACTTGAAAAGCTGGAGAATCACCTCAAAAGCAAGTTTAAAGTGTCATCGGAGTGGATCCGAAACGTCGGGGACTGCGTCAGTTTTCTTAAAAGAACACACCGCCTGGTGAGTGAAGACCTCTTGGTCATCGAGCCAAACGTGAAGTATGTGGAGAAGCTGATGCAGGTCACCGGCCTTGCCGCTGCAAAGGAAAGGTACAAGGCGACTCCTTTTCCTACAGGTCCAATGCCTACAGACCGCGTGCCCGATCCTGAGCTTGATGCCTCCAGTGCATCAAAGTATCGCACCGCGGTGGGCATCCTGATGTACGTTGCTTCAGACCTTCCCGCTTGCCAGTTTGGGATTCGTTTCCTGTCAACCTATGCCCACTGCCCAACAGAGGGATCCTGGAAGCTACTGAGGCACCTGACCGCGTACATCAACAGCCACGAGAGTCATGTCGTGGGACTTGCCAAGCCGATTGTTGGAAAGGGTATCATTCGGGATTGTTCAGACAATTTGCATACCCTTTTGTCGATCCTTGAATGCTTCTCTGACGCCGACTGGTCTGGCAACCGCCAGACCAGAAAATCAGTGAGCGCCGCTGTGGTGTTGTGGGACTCCATGACCATATATAGCCACTCGAAGACTCAAAAGAACATCAGTCTTTCCTCGGCGGAATCAGAATATCACTCGATGATATCCGCCATAGCTGACAGCATCCTCTTGAAAGCGTGCATCACCTTCGTTGCACCGCATCCACCTCTTGAGATCACTGCCTTCTGTGATAACAGTGCGGCCAGGACGCTTGCCTGCCGTCAAGGCGTCGGTCGCATGCGGCATGTCAGTGGAAAGCTGCTTTGGCTTCAGCAGAAGACCAAGGAAGGAGAAGTGGTTGTTCGACCCGTGCCTACGGCGGACAACGTTTCAGACCTCGGTACTAAAGCGCTAAAGGCAGACCGTATCTTGTACCTGTTGTCGAAACTCAACATGCGTGATTCCGAATGTGGGTATCAACTTGTTGGAGCAGAATACTTGTTGGATGCCCAGAGCAGACGCCAGTTGTGCCGAGTTATCAAGCAAGGGAGTGTCAATCCTCAAAGAATACTACAGGTTCTTGCATTGGCGTTGCAAGTCGACGCCATAGCAAGCGAGCAAGATGAGCCCAATGATGATCAAGACGCCTTGAGCCATGTGAGCACGAGCCTCTTGACTTGGATAGGCGAGAGCGTGACTGTGGTATTCCTTATTTGTGCCGACCTCATCGAGAATCACCCCACGTGTGCGATGTTGTTCGGACAGTTGATGATGCTGGTTTTCTTGATCTGTGCAATGTGCTTTTGCCGGAGCCACCGAAGGTCTGAGCCCACAACCAGTGGGAATGCAACAATGCCAAAGGTTGAAGTCAACATAGTGGTTTGAACCCGCCGAAATCCCTAACCCTGACCTGCCACAGCGAGAGAACGAAGGAGACGATGATCAGCCAGATCCGACAGCTGCATCGTCGTCCGCACCACCAAATGCAGCACCGGTGAGTGCAAGCACGTCTTGGAATGAGGTTGAGGCGAATCTTAATGCTTGGTTGCGTGAGAATGCCCTGCCAATGCTCGAACAGTGCAACGCACCGCCTCGAACACCGGAACATCCGTCGGTGCGAGATCCAGCAGAGAATCATGTTGTGTTCGTGACTGCGAGTCGTGGATATGCATTCCACCGGACACGTGAATGCCCAAAGCTCAGATGTGCAAAGCGAATTCTGAGGTACAGCAAGCGTGAGGCCATCAGGCGAGGTTTCAAGCCCTGCAAGGAGTGTGGAGCATGATACAGTGCAACTTCTTTCCACTTGGAAATGTTCATGATGCTGCGCAGTGGTCGCATGTATATAGCTTTATGTACATAGCTTGTGATGCTCATGAAACTTCACTTGCTAATCCTCGTGGAACCTGGGGTTCAGCAATGCACACACATTCTTGCCCAATCCTGTTCATTTCCGACTTTGAATGAGATAATCCGAATGCCTTGATGTTTGGGAGTTGGTCACCCAAAATCTCGTGCGATGGCAGATAGGCCATCACAATCTCCACAGTGCAATGCCACGTGTGTCCACCTTGCTTGCCATTCCGACAGTGTGCAGCATGGTGAAGGTCTCCGCTTGGGCCAGTCAAGCATGCAGCACATTAGGTGCTAGGTACAACGTAGTTGTAGCCTAAACCGAGCCAACGACCCATGGGCAGAGCTCGAAGATGCAAAGACATCCTGCAGTTGTTTCACGGGAGCATTTGAAACTAAGTGTCTTGTTGTTTCTCATACCTGGGCATCGGGAATCCTTTGAACCAAAACTCTTCGCCTAGCTTCACACTTTTGGAGGCGGGGTGTTTAGGATTTTGCCGATTTACAGCATGCCCAGATATTATGTTTTGCAGTTGTTTTACCTGTTGCTCCCATGTAGCATGTGACTTGAGTGATTCGAATCTGCAGGCGTCTTTACGGATTCAAAAGTTTTTCAGGGAGAGAGGGGGAGAGGAGGGGGAGAGGAGGGGGAGAGGAGGGGGGAGGGGGGGGGCGGAGGGGAGAGGAGGGGGAGAGGAGGGGGGGCGGAGGGGGAGAGGAGGGGGCGGAGGAGGAGCGGAGGGGGAGAGGAGGGGGGAGGAGGGGGAGAGGAGGGGGAGAGGAGGGGGTGGGAGAGGAGGGGGAGAGGAGGGGAGGAGAGGAGGGGGAGAGGGGGGAGAGGAGGGGGAGAGGCGGGGGGAGAGGGGGCGGGGAGGAGAGGAGAGAGGAGGGAGGGGGAGAGGAGGGGGAGGGAGGAGGAGGGGGGGGAGAGGAGGAGGGGAGAGGAGGGGGGGGAGGGGGAGGGGGAGAGGAGGGGAGGAGAGGAGGGGAGAGGAGGAGGGGGGAGGGGAGGAGAGAGGAGGGGGGAGGAGGGGGGGGGGAGAGGGGAGGAGAGGAGGGGGAGGGGGAGGAGGGGGGGAGAGGAGGGAGGCGGGGGGAGGAGGAGGGGGGAGAGGAGGAGGGGGAGAGGAGGAGGGGGGAGAGGAGGAGGGGGAGAGGAGGGGGAGAGGAGAGGGGGAGAGGAGGGAGGAGGAGGGGGGAGGAGGAGGAGAGGAGGGGGGGAGGAGAGGAGGAGGGGGAGAGGAGGAGGGGGAGAGGAGGAGGGGGAGGAGGGAGGAGGAGGGGGAGAGGAGGAGGGGGGAGGAGGAGGGGAGAGGAGGAGGGGGGGAGAGGAGGAGGGGGAGAGGAGGAGGGGGAGAGGAGGAGGGGAGAGAGGAGGGGAGGGAGGAGGGGGAGGAGGGGGGAGAGGAGGAGGGGGGAGAGAGGAGGGAGGAGGGGAGGAGGGGGGAGGAGGAGGAGGGGAGAGGAGGAGGGGGGAGGAGGAGGAGAGAGGGAGAGGAGGAGGGGGAGGAGAGGAGGGGAGGAGAGGAGGAGGGGGAGGAGGAGGGGGGGAGAGGAGGGGGGGGAGAGAGGGGGGGAGAGGAGGGGAGAGGAGGGGGAGGAGGGGGAGAGGAGGGGGAGAGAGGGGGGGGGAGGAGGGGGGGAGGGGGGGGGGGGGGGGAGGAGGGGGGGAGGAGGGGGGGAGGGAGGGGGGGGAGGAGGGGGGGAGGAGGGGGGGGAGGAGGGGGGGGAGGAGAGGGGGAGGAGCGGGGGAGAGGGGGAGAGGGGGAGAGGAGGAGAGGAGGAGAGGGGGAGAGGGGGAGAGGAGGAGAGGAGGAGAGGAGGAGAGGAGGAGAGGAGGAGAGGAGGAGAGGAGGAGAGGAGGAGAGGGGGAGAGGAGGATGACAAACTGGCGGAGGTGGGAGGACATGCAAATTTTCATTCCTGAACTGCTTGTCTTTGAGTGAGTGAGTGAGTGAGTGAGTGAGTGAGTGAGTGTGTGTGCGTGTGCGCGCTTTGGAGCCTACAGACGACCGCATCTTCGAGCATCATCCCTTTGGCAAAAAAACGAATATGCAAGTGAACTAATTGTTACCACTTGCAGTTGATATGACTATATTTTCTGTGCATGCGAGTTTTGGGCTTAGCCACATCGGAAAAGCGGAGCATTTGCTTTTTCAGAGGCTCAGACGCATGATCGACAAACTTGTCCTGCTTTGCCGCTGCACTGTGCATATTTTCTTTTGCCTTCTCCCAAGAGCTCATGAGGCCCTGGAGTATTTTCGCATTGGACGCAAGTTGAATGAGCTGGGACAGACGGAGCCGTTCGTCAAGACCCGATTCGTGCACAGAATAACAAAGAACACATTGAAAAAGGGCGAACGGGCTGCGTGTTTGAAGGCGGCAGCATGCTAGTCTTCAGTCGTCAGAAGGTTTTGAGAAAATGGCTTTAGTCTTCAGCGACACATAACGACACCCAGCAGTATGCAGGAAGCTGTCGTTTTAGCCTCCGAATATGTAGCATGAGCACGTGCAAGTGCGATCATTGTAGGTATTGCTGCATGACTGAAGTGGTTGTAACTTTTAGGATTAAGCTTTTTGATCTTTTGCATGACTGACGCGGTTGTAATTAAGTGTAGCTTTAGGATTAAGCTTTTTGATTTGCGAAGTGGCGCTGGGGTTGATCGGCTTGCCGATCATTTGAGGCACGCCAACAACATGGAGTCGGGTTTCTTCAACGTCGTCTCAACCCAAAGTTTGTGCATGGCTGTTCCAGCCATGCTGTGCTGTTTCTCTGGATCAAAAGCAGGGTCCGTTCATCCCGGCCCACAACGTGTTGAGGCCTGTGAGGCTTCTGGAACGTCAGCAGACGTTGGATCTTGAATAGCGTGCCAGGCCATGGCGAAGCATATCTGCTGCACTGGAGGGGCAGGCTTGACTTCCCGGACTGTGCGTGCATGGTAACGAAAGAAGCCGAGATGATTGCGGCTTTTATCAATCTGAAGCAAGCATGAACGGCAAAACGAGCACGAATGGCCTTAGCAAAAACAACAAAAATACATTAGTCCCTAGCTCAACTAATCGCTTGTGGTTTTTTTGCCAGAAGGTAGGTCGATGAACAGAAATTTGCGACAACTTTCAGTTTCCCTTTTTGAAGTTAGTCATTGGTGGCTCGGCGTGCGCATTCAATGATCTCCCGGAACATGCTCGGTTTCACAAAAGCTTCCTAAGGTTTTCCCATTTGCGTATTTCAGGTATGAACCTTTTCCTGAATCACATTACCTCTCCCACTATGGCTGCATTGCCCTGGCGGAGACCCTTGATCTTCAGTTATTGCCATTGTTCAGGCTACATCGGCTCTCACACGGTTGTGAAGCTTTTGGAAAGCGGCTACAAGGTCTCGATCATGGACAACCTGATCAATGCCAGCGAGAAGGTTGGCCCCCGAAACCCCAAACCCCAAACCCCAAACCCCAAACCCCAAACTCAAACCCCAAACCCCAAACCCCAAACCCCAAACCCCAAACCCTAAACCTTAAACCCTATACCGTAAACCCTAAACCCTCAGCCCTAAACCCTACATGCGGTCTTCTATCTTGCAATCGGAATCTTGCCCACTGCCAGCACTCTCATCGGAAACCAGGTCGTCCCCAGACTACAAGAGCTGACAGGACAGGAGGCCAGCTCTTAGCTGTGCCGGGTCTGAGTCGTGGGTGTTCTGAAGGTCTGCAAGGCGAGTGACAAGTTGAACGGTCTTGGTCGTAATGTGCAGCTTGCAGCGCGCGCCCTGCAGATACCTCTGTTCAAGATTGATGCATGCGACGCGGCAGCTGCCCCCTCAAGAGCTGGGCTGCAAGTGGCGGTGTGCGAAGCACGTGGCATGTTATGAAAATAATGCTAATAATAATTGTTCTTATTAGTTATTTCTACGATTATTAGTAGTATTCTTATTATAGTTATGATTAGTATTATTGTTTGTGCTATCACGAGACCCAGGCCGTTGACAAGCTCTTTTCCGAGCAGAAGTTCGACGGCATCATACATTTTGCTGGGCTGAAGGCAATGTAAACCGCCAACCCGAAGCTTGAAACCCTGAACCCTAAACCCTAAACCCTAAACCCTAGACCCTAAACTCTAAACCCTAAACCCTAAACCCTAAACCCGAAATCCGAAATCCGAAGCCCTAGATCCGAAACCCTAAGCCGTAAACCCTATGCTCTAAACCCTCAACCCAACAGGCAGAACCTGGACGAGTCCGGTAAATCGCGGAATCCTGCAGCAAGGTTTTTTCGTCGCTTCATCTGCCGTCCTCGCCTTGCCCTGTTGGTTCCCATGTGGCTGTAGTAGCAAGTCAGTAGCGTGTTAGTCAATCCAACATGAAGTGGCGAGGCACATCTACAACGTTGTCCAAGCTTTACCTGGCAAACTCAAGTCACGCGAGCACAGACCCGACATACCAGTTTCTGACTGAGTACCAGCGTAGTCCGAGCGACTCACTGCGAACCACAGCTGCTGTGCAGCTGCGGGTTCAAGGACTGCAGAAGCTGCTTGGAAGCCAAACGAAGTCAGATGGTCTTAGGCATTCGACAGCTGTCACAGCATGCAACTGCCTGTTAACACTCGGCATTTTGTTCTGATGCTTCAAGATTTTTTATGTCCTTGCCTCCGGCGCCTGGTTCTTGTGAGTCCTTGCTTTGACTCTGGCTTTGGGTCACCCCGACCCGAGCCCCATTGGCCCAATAGGATGAGTTTGTGCGCGCGTTGTGTCGTGAAGGAGTTCGGCAAGACGGGTCAACATGGAGAGAGGCAGCCAAACAAAAGCAGTGTGCGTGATCTCATTTCATGGCTGTGACTTTGCCACATGGGAGGCATGGTGCTGTTCATACTGGTCAGATGAGACCGCTTCGTCTTTGGCTCCTGGCGGCTGCCCTTTCTGGCATTCTGCAGGCCCGCTGTTTTTTTCTACGTGGGTGCTTGTGGTGCTTGGTGCCTGGCATGCCTCCTCATAGCTTGTTGTGTCGCAGGTGGCGAGTTCTGAGCTCCTGGCTCTGTCAGTGAGCTCCTCTTCACCAGGTCCCACACGCAGTTTTTGTTAAGGCTTCCATGAGGCAGTCTAGAAGGCTATAGCACGGTTGTAGACATCATGCTCTTTGGGCCAAGGCCAGTTGGATGTCTTCTTCGGGTCGCCTGCCACTACTAACGGTGCAACAGGAGCATCGCAGGCTCGTTCCTAGCGTGCGTTTCGAGCTGGAGCGTGGGGAGGGTGCTGAGCACATCTGAATTGTGCCGTTCCCCGCTGTCCAGACTAGTTGCGACGTCCTCCTTGCGCTGCGCCTAGAGGGTGGCCGTATGTGGACTCCAAGCGAAGAAAGTTTTTTGTCCCCTGCCCACTGCCCCCCAGGATTGGATAGTAACGGTGACGGCGCAGGGTGGGACTCCTACGATGGTCAATGTGCCGTCCTCACCTGCGAAGCTACGAACAGCTCGCTTCGGCCCCCCTAAGTTTATCCTTACTTGGCGGTCCCAGGTCGATGCAAACTGCGACCTTCCGGCACCATCTCGCACAGGCGCTCGGGTCAGTTCCTGGATGTTCTTGGATGGTCAACTATAGACTATAGTATTCAGGACTTGGAAGAGTTTAGGTATGTTTGGGTCTGACGCACTTGGAGGACATTGCCCCAGCCAGGTCACACCTGCCAGCTTGGTCTGCAAAGCAATACGGACTACACGGTGGAGGCATCGGCACTTGGGTGAGGGTGCGCGTTCGACGGCTCAACTCGGGATGGGATGAAGGACCTAAAGCCCCAGACTCTACATCCGAGTCGAAGCCAGATACTCGTACAATGGACCAGTTGTTTACCTTCGCAATCGGGAGGTGACGGAGGACTGCAACGTGACAGAGGCCTGTCACATGTGTTTGGGAGTGGTGCTTTCAGGAGGGCTTAGCTGCTGGCGACTGCGTGTGACAAGGCAAGATACAATGCGAGCGCTTCTGTTCGCACGATGGCGCAGAACCATGGCTGCAGACTTTTCAGGGCAGTTACGTCCATAAGCCGAGTGTTTGAACATCGCCTTGATATGCCCCACGGCTCATCAGCTGCGTAGAATCATGCGTGGCATACAACAGCAGAACGTGCTTGCAGTGTGGCTGCATTTTTCCTCCAACATTTCTCGCGGCTCCTAAACCCTAAACCCTAAACCCTAAACCCTAAACCCTAAACCCTAAACCCTGCTCAGGCCAGCATCGCCTCCCAACTTGCTTGTCACAGATGTCAGCAGCGAGCTCAGAGACTACCCAGCTCCAGGACCCAAGATTTGTCGAAGCTAGGCCGTTTAGGGTTTAGGGTTTGGGGTTTTTTGTGTTTAGGGTTTAGGGTTTTTAGGGTTTAGGGTTTTTAGGGTTTAGGGTTTTTAGTGTTTAGGGTTTTTAGTGTTTAGGGTTTAGGGTTTTTAGGGTTTAGGGTTTTTAGGGTTTAGGGTTTTTAGTGTTGTTTTTAGGGTTTTTAGGGTTTAGGGTTTTTAGGGTTTAGGGGTTCCTGGATCCCCAGGTAAAACTTCGCTGTCTGTCGACTGGTCCTCCGCTGGTGACGGAGACTGCGTCTTCCAGAACTGGGAGGCGATCTCGGTCTGGGTTTTGGGGTTTGGGGTTTAGGGTTTAGGGTTTTAGGGTTTAGGGTTTAGGGTTTTGTGGCTTTCGTGGCTTTCAATCCGAGGAGCACGGAAAGTTGGTGAGAACCCCCACAAATTCGGGGATCCCTTCTTATACGAAACCCTAATTGTAGGTACCCCAAAAAGGACCATAGTTGAAAGAACCGCGTCCGAGCGACCCTGAGGCGGAATGGCGGCCGTTCGGCGGAAGCTGGATGTTGGTAGAGAATGAGACGGGCACGTCGGAGATGCTCACGGGCTTGCAGGCCGCGAGCAGCTTTAGAGATGTTAGAGGCCTCAAGAAGAAGGCGGCCTTTTGAGTGTTTCGGTGCTTTCAGGTCTGGGTTTTAGGCATCCAGGGTGCTCGGTGAAGTTTGGAGTCTGGATGTGTTTTGTTTCACGGCTGCCTGGTCATGCATTGGAGACGCTCGACAGGAGAATTCGGCATATGAGTTCCGAGTGCGCTTGATGTGCACCGTCGACACCTCGGACAGTGGGAGAGTCCGTGTAGCACCCCACCACGGTTGCAAATGCAGCTCCTTTTGCAGACGCTTGAGAACGTGGGCGGATAACAGTCAGCGATGAGGCTCATGATGTAAGATTTAGGAGGGGTCTCTCTGCCTTCATGCTGAGGACACCAGTCTGAACTCTGCGTATGCAGAGTTTCCAGGGGGACTCTTCACTCTTCCAGGAATCTTCAGTGTCGGCAGCCTCAGCGACAGACATGTGGGGCTCTTCCTAATTGGCGTTCTTTTTGGTGGAGGTCGTCTTGAAAAAAGCCGATGATTCCAGAACTGCTTCGAAAGGGACCCAAATACAGAGAACATCCCATGTGGCCAAGGTTTATGTGGGAACCAGCACGGCAACAAGAGTCATTGAGTTGAGCCCGACGCTGAGAGAAGATGCGAGCCTGAAGCATCAGCTGAGTTCCATCCTTGGCTCAGGCTACGCTCCATCACGCTGCCGTGTGCTAAAGCAGTGCTGTGGAGATCAGTTCACAGCCCCAAGCCTAGCCCTGTCTCTTCATGTGCCAAGATGTTTCAACCTGATGCTTCAATTTTGAGCTGAAGGTGTGCCACAGCGGCGCCTACCGGCAAACGGCTGCCAGCCTGCATGCAGGGCGGCTTGAAGTTGTACAGTCCGACAGTCCCATGAGGGCATGGGAGTAGAGTGCCTAGACCCTGTTGTGCATGCCGCCTTAACCCTAAACTTCCAAGCCCACAAACCTTAACCAAGGTGTTTGTTGGGGAATCCTAACCCCTAAACCCTAAACCCCTAAACCCTTTAGGGTTGGCTGCATCAGGTGACTTTGGGCCGGATGGATGTGCTTGGTGGCTGGGGGCAGCCAATCTGGTCTGGGCCTCAGAGCGCCTTTGGCACTGTTGCTTGCTTGGGATGTTCCCCCTTATACTAACAGTCCTTAGCAGGATTATAGTTCCCCCTATTGTAATCCCCATTAGGACTCTTACTATAAGGGGAACATCCCAAGTGCTTGCTCTCTTCGGGTTTGTTTTGGGGTTTGGGGGTTGGGGTTAAGGGTGGAATCAGGGCTCCCTGTGATACTCGGAGCCTCAAACGGAGCCACGCTACTGTTGCCTCAAGATGCTTGCGCAGCCGTCCCCTGTACCCTCACCCTAAGCCCATGCACTCAGTGGTAACTTTGTTTCAGCTTGCTTAGCCGCAACCAGGATTCCCTTCTTGAAACCCAAGCCCTCAGCGCGCCTGGCGAGGCTGCAGTGCACGGCCCAGACGGTGGCAGACTTTACGACCTTCACCGAGGCCCGACGACTTCAGGGCTTAAGTGCCCAAAGCCTCCAAACATCCTACTGTGTTGCACAGCATCCAAACGACCAACCTCCCAGCAGATTTTTCGTTTGTCCCCTACAACGAACCCCAAACCACAAAGCTACCATCTAAACCCTATATCGACCCAAAACCCAAAACCCAAACCTTAAACCCTCGACCCCAACCTTTTCGAACCCTAACCCCCCAAAGTCCTCGATCCGAAAGCCTCATCGCAAAGCCCTACAAGACCCTAAGCCCCCAAAACCCTCCAAGGCACACAGGCCATAGAAACCCTGCAAGCCCGTAAAGTCTAAACCCTACTTCAAGGTTCATGGGTAGTTCTGAGTCGGGCTATGAGTACCCCACACACGGAAAAAAGCCAGCTGCAGTTGCCCTGCTTAGAACCGCAGCTGTAACTACGCGTGAACCTCCTAAACCCGAAATCCTACTGGGCACGCAAGCCCCCGTTCCTTCAAATAAGCGGAGATGCTAAAAAACAAAATAGAAAAGTCAAAAAGTCGAAAAGATTTTGCTTTTCCACTTTTTGACTTTTCGACTTTTCGGGACTTGTTGGGACTTTTCGGCTTTTCTACTTTCAGACTCCCCCCCCAAAAAAAACCGAAAAGTCGAAAAGTCAAAGCGTCAAAAAGTCAAGAAGTGGAAAAGCCAAAAAAATAGAAACGCGTAAAAGTCGGTAAAGCCCAGATAAGTCGAGAAATTGCGCAAAGTGTCTGAAAGTCGACACGTGAACGAGGGGGGAGGGGGTGGACTGGATGCCCAAAGCGAGCAGCATGCAGCGGCTTGTGGTTGAGGATATAAGAAGCTTTGTGGCGCTTTACTGTAACTTTACATCTTTAGCCTTTTTGGGTTTATTGGGTTTCTTAATAAGGCAGCTAAAAATTAAATTTATAGCTACCCTGCTAAGAGCAGCCAAGGAAGCCTTGTCTGGTTCATAGAGTTGAGGACTGGGGCTTGAAAGTGTCAGGTCGTAAGGTTGAAAGCCCATCGGGTCGAGCGTGACGTTTTGGTTAGTGGTGCGTTGAAGAGACTGTTGCATGCGCTAAAGAATCGCGAAGTTCCCTGGCTGGAACAACTTTGTTTTTTTCTGGTGTGTGAGGTTTTGGTTCGTGGTGCGTAGGAGTACCGTTTTGTGTCTAATGGACTTTTCGGGACTTTTCGACTTTTCGACTTTTCGGACCTTTTCGGACTTTTCGCGTGAAGCTCTTGTCCAAATCCACTTTTCGACTTTTCGGGTTTCTTTGTCCGCACTCCACGTGCGGCCGCGAACAACCGTTTGCAATCACAGCCTAAACCCTAAACCCTAAACCCTAAACCCTAAACCCTAAAGCCTAAACCCTAAACCCTAAACCCTAAACCCTAAACCCTAAACCCTAAACCCTAAACCCTAAACCCTAAACCCTAAATCCCCCCACCTCCCAAGGCCCCCCAAGTACCCAAGGTGCAGGCTCCGGCGCCGTTGTCGTTGGAGCTGCATGAGGCCAAGGCAACCACGATGAGGGCCAAGTACCGCCTGGGCTGGGGGCCCCGGCTCTTTTTTTGCAGGTTTAGGGTTTAGGGTCTAGGGTTTAGGGTTTAGGGTTTAGGGCTAGGGTTTAGGGTTTCGGGTTTCGGGTTAAGGGTTTAGGGCTTAGCCGGGGCGGGTTTAGGGGGGCTTCAGGCTTTTTGGGCTTTCGAGTTCGTTGATGCCAGCGCCTCTGCGTGCGAGGTTACATTCTCGATGAGACTGCAACCTGTGACTGTGCGACCCTGCGCCGAACCCAGGTCCAAAAGTCGTGTTTTAGGGTTGAGGTTTAGGGTTTAGTTTAGAGTTTAGAGTTTAGGTTTGGGAAGTTGTCGGGTGGTAGCTAGAGGTATAACTGGTCATAAATTAGAACCTTGCTCAGGGTTTTATAGCCCATTTAGACCTACCCGCAAACCTGGCCATGTCTCTCGAGTATGGTCCCTATCTGGTGATTGATACGGAGCCTGATATGTAGGGCACCCGAAAAAGAACTCAAAATGAAGTTGAACCTCTCTTAGACCAAGATCTTCGAGGCGTACTGTGTAGGCCCTGGACTCCTCGGGAACGCTCCAACCCTACTACACCTAAATTGCCGTTTCCGGAAACCGGGCTTCCCTTTCTGGGGGAATCCCCTAAGAGACGTTTCAGTATTTTGGGGTGTAGTAGGGGGATCCCCTAACTGGTGTGGGGGGAAATGCCCGAATCTGTAGATGTCTTCCGAGGTCCCTCGAGCTGCGCGCCGACGATTCAAGCGTCTGGAACTTCTTCCCGGGTCAGGACAACAGCTGCACCATCGCAGGCGCCTGGTCAGTGTTTCCTTTTCCGGGGGTCGGGAGCGATACAGAAGGCGTTCAGAAAAGTGCTGGGTGTTGAGGGAGTAGATGCATCAGATGCCTTCTGGGGTTCCTAGCACCAGCCAAAGCCCGAAGCTTCTGGCAGCAGAGCTGCGAAGTCGGAGCTGCCCCCCGCGGCTTTTCTGCTCAAGCCAACTTTTGGGGGCCGAGCGCCTGGGCCATGTCAATTTTGTATGGGCGCAACGGTTTGTAGCACCGGTTCTCAGGTTTAGGGTTTAGGGTTTAGTGTTTAGGATTTCAGGGTTCCGGTAGGGTGTAGGGTTTATTTTGGGTGGTCCTGTAAACTGTTCTTAGCAAGGCAAGGGGCTTTTGAGCCACTTAGGGGTTTCCGAGAATTCTGGGGTCTCTTTATTGGTACTCTTTCCAAGGGAGATTCCATTAGAAGGGGGGACCCTGATTTTGGCAGACTCACCTTTCGGATTCGGCTTGGCCTCAGCACGGAGCCTCGGCGCAAGCCCGCTGCGGTGCGGCATGTCAGCTCGGCTCTCAGCTTCGTCTTTCCCCGGCTGTCAAAGACCGGTTCGTAGCCGGATTCCGGTGTGCAAGCAGTCCATGCAACCCTAAACCCTAAACCCTAAACCCTAAACCCTAAACCCTAAACCCTAAACCCTAAACCCTAAACCCTAAACCCTAAACCCTAAACCCTAAACCCTAAACCCTAAACCCTAAACCCTAAACCCTAAACCCTAACGTCGAGGTCACCACGTATGAGCCTTGGCTTCGTTGAGGCAGGTCGGCCGTCTGACGGCCTGCGGAGAGCCTTCTTCGGCCCACATTGAGGGTTTAGGCTTTAGGGTTTTAGGGTTTAGAAATTCAGGGTTTAGGGGTTAGGGGTATGTCCCCAAAATCGGGGTATGCCGAAGATCCTCCCAGAAGAGTGTCATCCCAGGTAAAGGGGTTCCACTGCTACATCATGGGGCGTTCTCAAAGTTAGGCGGCAAAAAACACATAATACAGGCAAACTCAACAAGAATCTACATGCATATTCACCGCGGTCGCGAAGCAAGACAAGCGACAGAGCACAAAGCCCACATATTCCTAAACCCTGAAACCCTAAACCCAAACCCTAAACCCTAAACCCAGAACCCTAAACCCCAAAACCCTAAGCCCCTAAGCCCCTAAATCCCTAAACCCTAAACCCCTACACCCCTAAACCCCCAATCCCTAACTCACCATCCCAGGACAGCTCTTTCAGCTACCGCCAGGATCAGGTGGCGCGCCTGGGAGATCGGGCCAGGCCCCACTCCCGCCCAAAAGCGGTCCTTAGGGCCCCTTTTTGGGGCCTTGTTTTTTTCAGGGCCGTTTTTTTTAGTGGAACCTTTTTTTGGTGCCTCTTTTTGGGGGGGCGCTGGTGAGTGGCCATTTTAGAATCTTTTGGGGCCGTTTTAGGGTCCCGTTAGGGCTCTTTTTGGGCCCTCGAGCTGTCTTCGAGGGCCTTTACGGCCTTTGGGTGTACGGCTTTAGGTTAGGGTCTCCGCCTGGGCACCCTAAATACAACGGGACATTTTGAGCCCCAAAAGGGATGCAACCCTAACCCTGCTTGGAGGTTCACAGGGTAGTTTGAAGTGGGGTTGTAGGTAGGGCTTCTATGTTTATTATTGGTCAGAGCCTTGTTTCGGGGCAGCAGCAGCCCTACTGATAGCTTCCCTTGAACTGAAAACCCTAAACCCCTAAACCCTAAACCCTGAACCCTAAACCCTAAACCCTATCCCTAAACCCTAAACCCCAAGCCCTAAACCCGAAACCCGAAACCCTACACCTGGATATTGCGACCACCAGTTGCGCAAGGCCTGAGACGACCGAAGAGGATCGACGACCCCTGGTTTGCAGTTCGGGTTAGGGTTTAGGATTTAGGGTTTAGGGTTTAGGGTTTAGGGTTTAGGCATCTTCAGAGGCTTTCCTCAGGAGCGCTGGATGAGCGCAAGGCGCCCTTTTTGTTCTTAGAGAATGGATGCTGTCACTGAAGCCAGGGGGGATTAGGGTCAGGGTTTAAGGTTTAGGGTTTAGTCCTGCGCCTCCAAGGTAGATTTCAGCAAAGCCCCTTCATGCAGAGAATGCGGGAGCTTGATGAGAAAGCGTGGCAGCAGTTCAGTGAGAGGGACAAGAAGCGCGCAAAGACGGACCCGAGCTTCAGTCCCAAAGACACCGATTTCGAAGCCCCGAAGTCCTTCAAGTATGACAAATCCGTCAACTACTACAAAACTCTGGGACTTGAGGAGTATGCCACCAACGACGAAATCAAGAAGGCCTACCGAAAGCTGTCTCTCAACTACCACCCTGACAAGCAGACCAATAAGACACAGGAGGAGAAGGATGAAGCTGCTACCATCTTCATGGAGATCAAGAACGCATACAAGCTGCTGGCGGACGATCCCACTCGCCGCCAGTACGACTTCGAGCGCGACCGCGACTTCGTGAGTGCCCAGAGCCATGGCAAGAAGCCCCAGGAGAAGAACAGCTTCGATGCTGGAGAGGCGCTGCAACGGATGATGCAGAAAGCCAAGGAGAACAAGAAGCTGCCCAGCGAGATCGTCACCGTGCCAGTGCACTGCCGAATTGAGAAGTTCGTCTTCGGTGGCCAAAAAACCTTGACACGCACCAGGCTTGTCATATACACAGCTATATATATATACAATATGCAATTTTTGTATATACATATGTACATCTTTCTGTAAATAAATAGAAATAGTGTGTGTGTACATACACTAGATATAGCATATCACGTACCAGGCTTGTCAAGGACAAGAGCTACGGCGGCTTCAACGAGGAGGTGAAGACCTTTCGGATCGACGTTCCCGCCGGTGTCGAGCAACCTTGGGGTGTGGACTTCCGGAGGCAGGGCGATCAGCATGAAGGAAAGGAGGCAGACACCATCCGCCTCTTGGTAGTCGAGTAAGTAGCCATGTCATGTTTGTTTTTCTTTTAAAAAAAAAACTCACCATGGTTTATGCAGCTGTTTTTTTTTGGCGAAGTCGAACCCTCAAGAAGGAAGGGCTTAGGGATTGGGGGTAATCTTCAGCCAAGGCTTCCTGTTCTCGGCCAAGCCACACTTGTGGCTGGATAGAGATGGCCAGGACATCAAGCTCAGGGAAGCCATCCAGCTGGGCTCGGCCATGCGTGCTGAGCCCTACATGTCTGCCTCCATCTCGCCCTTTGCCGGGCGCCACGTCTTCCTCTGGGGTCGGAATCCTTTCTACGGCTCCACGGCCGTTGCCGAGGAGGGCCAAGTGGCCGTGCAGCTTCAGAGCCTGGGCTGTGGGCCCACCGGTGCCTTGGCCCTGCTCCTGAAGCTGGGTATGGGGACGAGGCCGGAGGTGCATCGGCAAGTGGCTCCGGGGCCCCCTGTGGGCCGGCGGCAGTTCCTCGAGCGTTTTGGGTTGGCCCCGGCCGCCGGCTTCAGCGAGCCGCTCCCAGAACCAGGCCGGGCGGTAACGAGGGGTTGGTGACTTGAAGTTCTTGAAGTTCTGGAGGTTCTGTAGGAGTTCTCAATGAAGTGGCTCTTCCGTGCCACTTGAAAACTTGAGAAGCTTGCGGGTGCGGGGGGATGGGGGAAGGTGCCGGCAGCATGCTGCGGACTCTCCTGGAGAGGCGACAGTGCCGGCGGGAGATGCAGCAACGGCTCACGGCGGATGTTGCTCTCAGGTGCCCCAGTTTAGACCAGGGGATATCTTTTCGGGCTTCTTGTTCTGAGCCCGAGTAAAGTACTCGGATAGCGTGTGAAGCTAGAGGGGATCTTTGTCTCCCGTGTTGCGTCTCCTTCAGTGAACTCTAGGCCAGTTGGACAAGCTGTTCGGCTGTTCACGAAGCCGCCCTGTACACTGACATTCCTGGCCAGCACAGCTCCAAAGCACCTTGGAAATCCAAGGCTTGCAAACGCACGGCGAATTGTGACTCTGAGTTGTGCAGCAACTGTGTGCTTCAGGTATGAGCTCTTTGCCGTGAGTCTGGACTGTCCAGCATGCGGCAAGAAGAAGGCTTCTGCTGAATGGGACCGACTAAAGGCGCGTTTGACGACGGTCTTGTGCCTAGACTTCTTTAGGCCTGGATCGTTCATCAAGCGTTTTGTTTTCTTGACGGGCTCCAGAAACATGTTGCAGACCGTCGTATACCAAGGCAAGAAACGGCGTTCATCCTTATGGCACAGGCACGGAATGCGCGGCCTCGGTCTCTTCTTGCCAAGCCGGTCTTCGATGACCGGATCGCGCTTTCAAGGAAAGATCGCCCCATGCCCTGGAAGAGCATCGGTGATCAGGCCTTCAAGCAGGGGAGCTACTGGATCGCCTGTGCCGTCTATGCCAAGCGGCTGGAAGAGCTGCGCGTGGTCGTGCGTGTGCATTCGGCGGAGAACGAAGGTCAGGAGGAGCCCTGTGAGGAGGAACAGGAGGAGGAGGTGATCGACGTGAGTGGACAGCGCGGCCCGGACTTGGTGCCGGAAGCTGCAAAGGTCCTCACCAACCGTGCCGCTTGCCTCATCAAGGTGCAGGACTACCTCGCGGCTGCGGCCCACGCTCGCAAAGCCGCCGAGCTGGCGCCGCGCTGGGCCCGGGCCTGGAGCCGCCTGGGCCAGGCGGCCTGGGAGCTCAAGGACAGCTTTCGGGCGGAGGCTGCGCAAGCCTACGCCAAGTCGGTGGAGATGGATCCCTTGCCCTCCACTGTCCAGGCACTGCAAAGCGCTGTTGGGCAACTGCAGGGGCCGAATCCCGATGCGTCGCATGATGCCAAGGAGAAGGGAAACCAGGCAATGCGCGCGGGGGAGATCGGCCTGGCCATCGCCCTGTACACGCAAGGCATCGCCCAGCTTCCGCCGCCGGGGTCGGACGAGCCGGACCGTCCCGATGCGCACGCGCTGCTGCGAGGGGTCCTCTTCACGAACCGCTCGGCGGCCTTCTCGCGCGTCCGCAGCTGGGATGCGGCCGTTGCGGATGCCAAGGAGGCCGTGGCTGCACAGCCGGGCTTGTCAAGTGCGCACTCCCAGCTGGGAGTTGCCCTGCTCGGTAGCGGCTTCCATCAAGAGGCTTACATACAGTTTGCCAAAGGCGCAAAGCTGGATTCAGAGCACAAGCCGTCCATCAAGGGCCGCAACACATGCCTGAAGGAGATGCTGGCTTGGAAGTCATCCTCCGCCACTGCTCGATACCAGAACCGCTTCTGGCTGGACCTGAAAAGGCAGAAGGGATCCACACGGATTTTTGCCATCTCCGATCTGCATTTTGACCAGAAGTGTAACGAGGATTGGGCTCACACCATTGATGACATTGCTTTCCTGGACGATGTCCTCATTGTTGCTGGCAACGTGGCCGACACCAAGGTCGGAATGACCCGGGCGCTCACAACGCTGAAGCTTACTTAGCCAACAGCTGAACTTTAAACTTTTCGGATTTCCTGATTCAGTAGGAATGAGAATGTCTATAGCAATAGAAATATTAACGTATGTTTATTGTTATATATATACATACAGCCCTATATGTATGTATATATATATATATATGTATATATATATATACATATATATATATATATATATATGCTAACCCCCCCTCCAAAACCCCACGTTTAAGAAAAAAGATCGGCGAGAATCGATGTTTCCCATGACAGGCTTCGACATGGTGCATTTAAAGAACTAAATTGCGTAAATCCTGAAAGGGGGGGGCTTTAATTTATTTAAAGCGGGCGGGAGAATAGTTAACATAATGAGAATAATGAACTAAATTAATTAATTTAATTTAATTAACTGAGCTAATTAAATTAATGAGATTCTAAATACTTTAAATCCTGAAAGGTAGGGGGGGCAGCTCCTTCCTTCTGAGGGGATTTCAATACTTTAAATATGAAGCCCCTATTGAAACGTGAAGGCCCCTTCAGATTTAAATTATCTCTTCTCTTTTTTTTTACTTCCCCTTCGCGGGAGGGGGCCAGCCCCCCCCCCCCCCCCTATCAGGATTTATTAAACTTTAATATATTAGGAAATATGTAATTTTTTAAACGATTTGATTAAACACTCTCCCCGAATTTGATAATTAATATAAGTATGGAAGGCCCTATTTTGTATATGAAGGCCCTTCATAGTATTGATCTAATCTCATCCACGAAAATGTAAAACTGAAGGCCTTCCCAACAATTTAACATAGTTACTTGGGGGGGAGAATTAAAAAATTACAATACTAAATAGTTTTAAACACATTAAATCCTAAGAATGGGGGGGGGGAGCTCCCCCCCTTCTGCGAAGGAATGAAACAGCTTATTTTTATATGAAGATACCCTTTAAATATGAGGCCTGTCAGATTTAAATGATTTTGAATTCCCACCGGGTTGGAGGGGGCCCCAGGCCCCCCTTTCAGGATTTCAGTAGTTTAAACACAATAATGTAAATAAGTTAAATATTTAAGTCCTGAAAGGGGGGTGGTGCTGGGCGGGGGGGGGGGGGGGGGAGCGTCCTCTGCTTCTGAGGGGAATTTAGATAAGTTAAATAAGTAAAATGGAAAGCCCCTCAGATTTAAACTCATTTAATTCCCCTGCTAGGCTTCTTGCAGTGAAATTAATTGTTTAAATAGTTTCGTATTATTACTATTGTAATTTATTAAGCCCCTCCCCGAATTCAATGAATTAAATATGAAGCCCCATTAACATGAAAATTGCATACACCCGGTTCCTATTTAAACACGAAGGCCCTATGTGAATATGAAGACCCCTCCATATTTACATTGTGTAGGTCGGGGGGGAATTTATATTTAGATAATCAAAATCTTGAAGCGGGGGCGGGGGGGGGGGGGGGGGGGGCAGCTACTTCACTGTGGGGGGAAGCAAAAAATCACAAAGTTACATATGAGGCCCCTATTTAAATCTGACGCACCCCCCCCCCCCCCCCTCAGATTTAAATTTGTTCATTATGTCATTCTCCTTGCTGGAGGGGACCGGGGCCCTTTTTCAGGATTTAAATTATGTAAATTATTAAACTATCTATATACATATTGAAGTGGCATTTAAGTCCCTCCCGAGTTCAGTAATTTAGATATTAAGGCCTCTATTTAAATATGAAAGCTCCTCTATTTATTTCTTAAAATATTTAAAGTACTTAATTCTCCTCCCCGGATTACATAGTCTAAGTACGAAGGCCCCCTATTTAAGTAGCAGATTTTTGAGGCCACCAGATGATTTGATCTGTGACATAAAGAGGCAAATCTGCGAATCTCGAGGAAACGCAGATTTCAAATCTGCGAATCTGCTTTTTCTCGGGGTTTCGCAGATTCGCAGATTTGCACCCCCCAACAAATCTGCGAATCTGCGTTTTCTCGAGGAAACGCAGATTCGCAGATTTGCAGATTGGTTGGGGGCTACAAATCTGCGAATCTGCGAAGCTGCGTTTTCTCGAGAAAAACACAGACTTCAAATCTGCGAATCTGCGTTTTCTCGAGGAAACGCAGATTCGCAGATTTGCAGATTGGTTGGGGGCTACAAATCTGCGAATCTGCGAATCTGCGTTTTCTCGAGGAAACGCAGATTCGCAGATTTGCAGATTGGTTGGGGGCTACAAATCTGCGAATCTGCGAATCTGCGTTTTCTCGAGAAAAACACAGACTTCAAATCTGCGAATCTGCGTTTTCTCGAGAAAAACGCAGATTTCAAATCTGCGAATCTGCGTTTTCTCGAGGAAACGCAGATTCGCAGATTTGCAGATTGGTTTGGGGCTACAAATCTGCGAATCTGCGTTTTCTCGAGGAAACGCAGATTCGCAGATGTGCAGATTGGTTGGGGGCCACAAATCTGCGAATCTGCGAATCTGCGTTTTCTCAAGAAAAACGCAGATTCGCAGATGTGCAGATTGTTTGGGGGCTACAAATCTGCGAATCTGCGAATCTGCGTTTTCTCGAGGAAACGCAGATTCGCAGATTTGCAGATTGGTTGGGGCTACAAATCTGCGAATCTGCGAATTGGTGACCTGAGACGTGGGGTTTTGGGGGGGGGGGGGGGGTACCATATATATATATATATATATACATACATATGCACATTTTTTGCCTGGGTACTTGGAGAAGTCAGGAAGTCCAAGTTCCGGAGGGTCTTCTACACGGTGGGCAACCACGAAATGCAGATCACGGCCTCGGAGTTCGCAAGGTGTCCCTGGTGGGTTTAGGGTTTAGGGTTTAGGGTTTAGGGTTTAGGGTTTAGGGTTTAGGGTTTAGTTCTTAGAAGGGAATGAGGGAAGGAGGTACCCTATACATTCCCTTAAAGGGTATAAATAGGGGGAATGGGGGAATGAGGTACCCTGTACAATCCCTTAAAGGCTAGAAATATGGGGATGTAGGGTACCAGCCAGAGGTATCCGGACTCCATCGCGAAGCTGTCGGAGATTTTCAGCGCGTGCGACGAGTTGGGCATAGATGTTTTTCCTGCCCCGGTGTGCGAGGGTGTCCTCGTGGTCCCGCTGCTCTCCTGGTGCAGCGCCGAGTTTGATCACGAGGATCCGTTTCCAGACCCCAACTCGAACTTCAACCGTCGCTGCTCATGGCCGATGGACCCTGACCTGCAGGTCTGGAAGTACATGATGAAGCTGGGTCATTATTGAAAAACTATTTACATGTTTTATGAGCACTGAAACCCAGTAAGGAACAAACATGCGATCATTTTTAAATAGTGCCCCAACAATGGTGCAGGAAGCTGAACGAGTCCTTCCTCAGCTTCCAGGGCTACGAGACTGTGATTACTTTTTCCCACTTTCTCCCGCGGCAGGGTCTTCCCTTCGACAAGACACGGAAGAATGCTGTAAAGGCTGTCGGGTGTGACATGATCGACGAGCAGGCCCGGGCTCTCAAGAGCAAGCTGCATGTCTATGGCCATGGCCGGGTGAGATATGCTCAAATGCATTCGGGTGTGCGGTATGTCAGCCCGCCTATCGGCTTTGAAACGGATTGGCCAAAGGATCATCCTCCGCGTCTCATGCTTGTACACACCGGCAAGAGCCTCTGCATGCAGGAGTGGGGAGCAGACGACGAGCCTCCACTCGGCTACGTGAAGCGGCTGCTGAGCTTGAGCTTCTACGCCATGCCGGGTTTGCGCGAGAGTGAGCTTCGAAAGCTCCAGAACTCAATGCCAAGGCACAACTCTTTCCCTGGAATTTCCTGCTCATTTGATCGTCTGGGCAGCAAGAACCAAGACAAAGAGGCTCTGTCAAAGGATGCGTTCCCAGACATTGCGCAACTATGTAAGGATGCTACACACGTCATGATCACGGTCGCGGATTCTCTGGAAAACCTGAAGGACCTGTGGAAAAGTGATGCTTTCGCAAAGGATTGGACGGCGGCGATTGCGCCCCACGCCCGCAGCACGGTGTCCTTCACCACACCGCTCGGCTTAGACCTCGTCCACGCAAAGAAACGGGACCCAATGCTCATCGTGTACGGCCTTCGCTTGAGTGAGGCGGTCAAGGAAGATGGCGATGAGTATGGCAAGATGCAAAAAGCAGTCGAGGCTATCAACAAGCTCCCTGGAATTGATGGCAAGATTGCTGTGTCCCTCCACCCTATGGGCTTTGCGCGCTTCTCACACGGTGAGCTCTTAGATGAGCTGGGGGAGAGAAACGACAAGAGCAATGGGCTGACTCACTGCTTTACCGTGCTCGTGGATGATCCTTCAAGCTACAAGATGCTCGCTCAAAGCAAGACCTTCGGAAAGTGGAAGGCTTCCTATGAGCCTTACCTCAACGGTCGTAGTCCTAGTGTGATGGCTTTTGCCCTGCCCTTGGACATCGCAGCAACGGCAGCAGCTCCCAAACCTCCCAAAGGGAACAAAGGGAGCAACGGTTTTTCCAAGTCCAAGCGATGAGATAGCTCTGCCTGGATGTCTTCCCAAACCCCGTGGCCGGACAGAGCGTCCATGCGAAGCAGGCCTGCGTGCAGCATAGATCCACTGGATCTGGTACCCAGACCCCCGAGAAGGATCCAAGAAGTAGATCCCCCTGAAGCGATCCTAAGAATGGCCCACTACTAGTAGAGGGTACTACTTGGGAGGTCTACTTTTCGGATCCTCCCGGGGGTCTGGGTAGCAGTGAGCAGGCAGGTATCATTTCCATATCGAAAAAGGAGAGCGAAAGCCAACCGATTCGGAAGCTCGTTCGCGGTTTCTCAGCTAGCTGCGCGGTTTAGGGTCTCGGGTTTAGGCTTACGTTGGGTCTAGGGTTTGGGGTTTAGGGCTAGCTGGGTTTGATTCTTCGATTTTTGCAAGCCGATGTCCTGGCAAGGTACCCGTGACTGCTTCCTTATTGATGCGGCAGCCTCGATTCTCCCCTGTGCTGAAATCAGAAGCTCAGAAGGACTCATGCCATATCGCCCTTTCACCTAAACCCTAAACCCTAAACCCTAAACCCTAAACCAGAACAGGGTTTCCATGGCCCACCGAATTGCAAAGGCCATGCCCGACACGAAATATTGGGGTCGCATGAAGATGCCATCCTGCCTCGCTTGCCGTCCTAAATTCAAGGGTTGAGGGCTTAGGGTTTAGGGTTTAGGGTTTAGGTTGAGGGCTTAGGGTTCCGAAACCCCAAGTGGCCCAGAATGGCCCTAAACCATGAATTCCGGGATCTGCTACGCCAGGTCATGCGAGAACTCCTCGGTGGACAGTGAGTACGTCTACACGCAGGACAGCCTGGCCGGCGAAGCGTGGGGCTCTTCTGGCTTCCGGTGCTTCTGCATTCCAGGCAACAGCAGAGCATATGAGCATATGGTCACTTCTCTAAAATATGGTCCCCTGTGGGGGGGTCCTTATTAAATGGCCGATGCTCTTATTTAGGGTACCCAAAAAGGGACCATCATTTAGAGAGCTGACCGTATGTTACCCTTCACACCTTGCCTTTGGAGCTGCAACCCCTCCAGGACTACATCATCACGCCTCCAGCCTGCACGTGGCTGCGGCCCCAAGCTGATTCGCATGCCTATAGGGATATCCACCATGGTACTTGATAGCCCAATCTTACTTCATAACTGTACTTATAACCACACTTGGCACAATGAAAGGGCATATAAGCGGGTTATATATAAGTGCAGTTATAATCGGTTACTAAGTACTATGAACCTGCAAGAAGGGACGATGTTGTTTAGGCTTTGGGGCTCGAGGGTCTCTACAGGAGCTGCAGTCGTGGCATCTCATTCAAGCGCTGTTGCATTCCACCCTCGCAGCCTGAGCTTCTCCGAACCCTCGGCTCTAAGTCGTGAGCCCTAAGCCCTGCACCCTAAACCCTAAACCCTAAACCCTAAACCCTAAAGCCCACTGCCACCTAGTGAGCGTCCTCCACGCCCCCTTCCTTGTGCCTGTGATATCTCCTCACACACCAAACAGGTCCACACACACCGGCCAATGGGGCTATCCGGACCAGTTCGAATGCGTGGACGGTCGGCTCGGGTCTGCTTGCTCGAGCCCATGGTCTATTTGCAAGTACAAGTATGTACAGTATACATATATATATATCTATACACAATATGCACACACGTGTTCATTTCTATATATACACATACACAAAATGTTATAGTATCAATACGTCCCATCATTCATACATATTTCAGATGAGATCCCATTATAGTATCGTTTGATCTCATATCGTACCTTATAGCATCATACACGGCCATATAATATCGCATGCTATCAAGGAAGGTGAAATATCATCAAAGAATATCACATCACATAGTTCCATATCAAATCATATCATATGATAGAAAATGCTACCAAAATATCTTCCAACGGAATGGAATTTACAACATTATCATTTACATGCTACAGTACAGTACAAAACAAACACAACATTCTACACGAATACACCGGTACAGGATATACTGCGGCGAAATGTGTGTACATAGTTAATGTATCTTTGTATATACGGAGGGTATAGCAATTTCACACAGATGTTCACAGATTTGGGCCTGTCTGGTTCCGGTGCTGTTGGGGTTTGGGGGATTTGGTGCCCTGAGCCCTCAACCCCAACCACAGTTCAGGGGGTCTACACCTGTGGGCTGCTTTAAATGGGGAAAATAGGGGACCCTTACAATAGACCCCCATATAGTAGGGTTCCCTTATACAAAGGACCCCAATAGGGTACCCCTAATTTCGGAAACCCGCAAATTCGCGAGTGGGCATTCCAACATGCCTGGGCAGGAACCTACTGCAGTGAGACCGATCCGTCCTGCTGTGTGGCGCACGGTGGACGCATCAGGCACCCCATCCGGGGGGCCTCATTTTCGGGGGGCACCCAAACCCAAAATGGCACAGGGTAAGCAGTGCTGGTGGCAGTCGATCATCTGTTGGTGCATGTGTAGCTGGCAAACGATTCCCCCAGTTTTGCCTGCCACGCCTGAGCAGGGGCTTTGTAGTTGCTGGCGCTGCCTGCGGAGAAGCACCTACAGTTGAGTGTTGCATGTTCCAAGGGTTGCGATGTATGAGCCTTTCGTCAACTGGCTCGTGCGCTTGACCAGGTGTCCTGCCAGCGCACCCTTCATGTGCCACAACAATTACGACTGCGCCAACTCCCAGGCGAGTCTACTCACGTTGAGTGCTGAGTCTGCCACGCGCGGCGATGCGTTGCTGTGTCAGGAGCGATGCTGCATGGTGACGGAAGAGGCTAGAGATTTGATGCCATATGCGCGTACAGCACTACTACATCGCATGTCTGACAGAATCCGCTCGGTTATGGAAGCAGTTGTTTGCTGGGCATCTTTAACTTCCGAGCCACTTCTGTACTGTAACAGAGGTTGTCTTAGGTGCCATACTCGCCAGACCGGATAGCTCTTCCGCTTCTCTGGCCCTCCCTGTGCTGCATGTTGTGCATGCGGCACTTGTACGCGTAAGCAAGCTAGGAGCCAAATGCTTGAGTGGTCGCCTCAGGAATGTGCTGCTCACGGTGGCTTGCGGACGTGCGAGGCCGGATATGCGGTATGACTTGACACTGACCCTCGGAGATAAGCCAGGAGGATAGGTGTCTGTCTCATGGTGCCCGGTGTCTGCAGGGGCGAGGAAGCTCTGCGTCCAAGACCCTTAGACCCTAAACCCTAAACCCTAAACCCTAAACCCTAAACCCTAAACCCTAAACCCTAAACCCTAAACCCTAAACCCTAAACCCTAAACCCTTAACCCTAAACCCTAAACCCTTAACCCTAAACCCTAAAACCAAGACACTGCAGGTGCCAGCCAAGACGCCTCTGCTGACCAGCGTCCAGTCACTGGGGCCGTGTCCTCAGCCTTGAGAGCAAGCTGCTTGGAGATTCTACCGTATTTGATTCAGGGTTTCGCGTTTTAGGGTTTAGGGTTTGGGGTTAGGATTTAGGGTTTTAGGGTTTAGGGTCTACTCGGAGGTTCATGGTACTTATGACCCAAGCACGGCTGTATTTATACTACACTTGTAAGCCCTTAAAAAAATACTTGGGTTATAAGTACAGGAATAGTTGGGTTATTAAGTACCATGACCCTCCAAGTGGGGGCTTCCCAAAATATGGGTACCCTTTTATGGGGCATTCCTAAAGCAAGGGTTATCGTATGTTTGGGGAGGATATTCTTAAGGGCTTAGGGTTTAGGGTTATTTTGGGATTACCCTGCAGAACCAGGAGCTCATTGCCAAGAGTTCAGGGTGGCTTCGGGTTGTGGGGTCCAGGACTTGCAAAGAGCAGCCTCCGAAGTTGAATTCTCAAAAAGTTTCGGGCTTAGGGCTTCGGGCTTCGGGCTTAGGGTTTAGGGTTTAGGGTTTAGGGTTTAGGGCTTAGGGCCGAAGTTTAGGGTTTAGGGTTCAGGGATAGTTTCGGGTTTAGGGTTCAGGGCAGAATGCGTGAGCCCATGAACTCCGGCCACAGCGGCTCCGTTGTCAATGAGCTCCACCAACTCAGCCCGCAAAACACCAATTTTTAAGACCCTCAACTCGAAAACCCTAAACCCTAAACCCTAAACCCTAAACCCTAAACCCTAAACCCTAAACCCTTAACCCTAAACCCTAAACCCTAAACCCTAAACCCTAAAACCTAAACCCTAAACCCTAAACCCCAAGCCCTAAGCCCTAAACCCTAAACCCCAAACGCCGGGCCCTTTAATCTCTGGGAACCCATCAAGCCCCAAGTCCAAGAGTTCGGAAGAGCTTGCTGGTTCTTAGTAGGGATTGAGGGAATCAGGTACCCTGTAATCCCTTAACAGGGTATATCTAGGGCCAATAAACCCTAAACCCTAAACCCTAAACCCTAAACCCTAAACCCTAAACCCTAAACCCTAAGGCCCTACTGTACTAAGATGGGTTCCTCTGAGGCCTGCGTCGCTGACGGTCTCCTGGGAGCCCCAAGAGTGCCCTTACCTTTCAGTCGATTTTGAGGGCTTAGGGTTTTAGGGTTTTCAGGGTTTTTAGGGTTTTAGGGTTTTAGGAGTTTAGGAGTTTTGGGGTTTTAAGGTTTTAGGGTTTAGGAGTTTTGGGGTGTTAGGGTTTTAGGGTGTAGGTGGTCGAGCTTCAGGCTTAGCGACTTAATCTGGTTGAAGGGTTTCCTGGCGCCCTGAACCCTACACCCTTAATCCTAAACCCTCAACACTAAAACTTTAACCCTGAACCCTAAACCCTTAATCCTAAACCCTAAACCCGAAACCCTAAACCCTAAACCCTAAACCCTAAACCCTAAGCCCTAAACCCGGGTGCGGCTATTTGCGCTATGAGCTTGGCTTGAAGTATGGGCGGAAGCTGGGAGGCGTCAGGTCCGGCACGCATGCGGGGTGGTTGAAACCTAGGGTCCGCGGCTTGAGGGTTAGGGGTGTAGGGTTACCTGGGGTTTCAGGATTTAGGGTTTAGGGTTGGGGGTTGAGGATTTGGGGTTCCTCCCTCTCTCTTCTCTCTCTCTGCCTGTTTCTCTATATTTCTCTTTTCTTTCTCTTTCTCTTTCTCTTTCTCTTTCTCTTTCTCTTTCTCTTTCTCTTTCTCTTTCTCTGTCTCTTTCTCTTTCTCTTTCTCTTTCTCTTTCTCTTTCTCTTTCTCTTTCCCTCTCTCTCTTTATCATTCTTTCTCTTGATACATATTTAGGAGATTCGACTACCTTGCCTAGAAGGGCCCCTGTTTCAAAGCAACCTCTCCACATCAGGTACCTCGCTGGATTCTCAGAGAGTCCCGGGAGTTTGACGGGAGTTGCCCTTCGAGAAGCGTGGCCCCTGTCAGAAAAAGCTGCTTCAGGTTGGCTACTCCAGCTGTCAGTTCTTGGAGTGGCGCGTTGCCATATCCCAGGTGGGGATGGGGAGGGGAGGGGAGTTGCAGTGGACCACGAACAGTTGCAAGGCAAATCCGAATCTTGTCACAGCGGAGGTTCACATCTACGGCGAGGGGCAATGGACCAGCGATTGCTGATGCTCATGCTATATCTGGATGTTGCCACCTACTTGCTGCGCAAAGTCTCTGTGTGTGTGTACTGGTAGTTGTCGAAACACTCCTTTCTGGTAGTCTGTACATGCATGCCTGCACTACCATTGATCTAGCAGTTTCGATGTGACGTGCAGGATCTGGATGCATGAGTGCAACAGCAGAGACTACAACACGAGGCGCAGCCATTACCTATAGCGCGCAGAAAGCATGCGTCTCAGGTTGTGGTTGAAGACGCTGCGTAGTTCCCATGCAACTTTGATTCCAGCGGGGCCCTTTTGCAGGAGCTGCACCATAGAGAACCTTGTCAGCTTGACTGACTACAACGTCCAGGCCAGGGTTGGTGTTTCTGGGTCACTCCCCAAACCCGGAACCCCAATAAAGTTTAGGGTTTAGGGTTTAGGGCCTAAACCCGAAACCCACAACCCTAAACCCTAAACCCGAAACCCCACAACAATCCCGAAGCCCCCCTGAATTCCCCTGGAGCCCGACATGTGAGGTCTGGGCTCAGTGCACAGCGGTGGAGCTGAGCTCCTATCCCAACCGCACAGTCGCACCCGTCCGTCTCCCAGCTGAGGGTTTTGGGTTGAGGGTTCAGAGGGTATGGGGTCTCCGTGACCTCTGGAAGGTTTGGGGTTTGCAATATATCCCTTGATTGAGTAAATCCTTCGCTACTTCAAGCGCAGCGTTCTGGGTCAATGTGGTCAGTTGCCCCTGAGCTACTCCGGGAGATTCGCTTCTGGGGCAGTTCAACTTGTCCCTCCCTTCCTTGGCTCCTCCTCGCCGCCATCTTGATCTGCTGCTGCAGCTACGTTTGTGGGGCTCTTTCCGCTGCCATCTTGTTCTCTGCTTCTTGTCGGCGGATCTTGGGCTATATCCTGCGCTGGGTAGCCAATTTCCTGGACATCCCTGCTTTGGGGCCTCAGTTGGCGCAGGGGCAGCTACAGCGACTTCGTGAGTATCGTGCATGAGCGACTTCGGAGGATTCAGAGAAGCAGGCACCCGACACTGCAGGCGTAACGTCCTCTTGGAGGTGGGCAGTGTGTCCCACACCTTCGCGAGCAAGACTGAAGCCATCGTCCTTGCCAGCGCCTCTGGCGTACGATGGCCGCCCGTGCTTTGAATGCGGCGGAGATCCGCCGCTTGGTAGATGCCACTGTTGGGGAGCGACCTCTCCCTTTCGTCTACTTCCTGGACACCACGGAGCCGCCGGCTTGGCGGGCTACTGCTTTTCTGCTTCGACACCGTGCAGGAGGTTTCTTGGCCATTCTACCAGCCGACGATCAGGTTGCCGAACAGTTGGCAGTTCTCGCAGACGAGGGGTCACCTACTCCACTGCTGTACACCGAAGCGGACTTGCCTGCCGAGACCCCCAGGCGGCGGTCAGTCGGCCCGGTTGGAGCCTTCATCGTGGACGCATCCTGGGCCTCTCTGCACTTGTTCCGCCGAGCCACTTCTCGAGCTGCAGGCGCTCAACTGCTACCCACTGTGGCTATGACAGGGCCAGATGGCCAGGTGGTTCGTCCCATCTCCGAGACAGCACATCAGGCCGCCGACATCTGGATCCAAGGAGCTACTTCTGGCGAAGCCGCCCCACCAGCTGCCGAGCTAGCAGAGTACCTCACGGCCGAGAGCCAACTTGGAGATGGGGAGGACGAGGCAGACGAAAGAGCTGCAGGTGCCGAAGGCGAGCAAGTGGTCGACCAGGTTTCCCAGCTACAAGCTCGCATCCGCGAGCTCGAGCAAGCCAAATGCGCGACATCCTGCCGTGGTTCCTCAGGAGCCAGCCCGACGTGGTGCCCGAGACCTCTTTCCCGATCCCGGTCCTGGAGCTGCTTTGCCCAACTGGACGCCTCAGCCTGGGCCGCTCTTCGAGCTGCTGCCGGTGCTGCGCCACCACACCTTGCACGTCACGAGCGCGCCCCTCGAGCCGAGGCCTCCCATGTCTCCGACAATCTGCTTGCAGAGCTAGAGTTGGGAGCCACCGAAGACGCGCTTGGGTCGCCGCCTTCTACCATGGCTCTGCACCGACTGTTGTTAGCTCAGACTCAGTTGCTCACTCAACTTGCCCAGTCAAAGGAGAAGGACCCGATCAGCTCAGCCCTATCTGGTGCAAAGGAGGACACAGGCCTCGGAGGGCGTGGTTCAGCCGCTCGAGACGCTTTCACCCGCCTCCTGACGGACGACCAGACTGTTGCCAACGCTATCCGTCGTCTTGGTGCCGAGTCCCTAGGCCTGGACGTGGAGCATCCCCCTTCGAATTTGATGAGGCAGTTCGCAGAGAAGAAGCTACCGTCAGCAGACCTCAAATTGGTCACTTTGGTAGCTCACATGGCAGCTCATGCTTGGCAGGTGGGTCGAGAGACGCAGAATGTAGCGCTCGAAGCTTGGATGTCCAGACTACTGCTGTTCCTGGAACAAACTGCTGTGGAGCAAGGTCGAACGCAGCTCTCGTGGCTATTAACGGGGCTCCCAGAGCCCAATTATTCCGCTTTGGCCCGCCGCCGAAGCGGGGTACGACCATTCGCTCAGCTATGCCCAAGTACCTGGATCACAGCAAATGTAGCGTATCTGAAAGAGATGGAGTGGGTGCAGAATCGCCTCACCGCGGGCCCAGCAACTTTCGACCCGGGGGCCTCCGACTCGAGAACCCCCTTCACCGGCGCCAAAGAGCAAAGAACGGACGAAGCAACGCCAGGTGCCAAGAAGCCCCCGAGGCGGCCGCCCCGCAATCCCAGAGGGGGCACCGAAGGCTCGACCTAGAGCACAACGCAAATGCATGTGAGGCCGGTGCGGTGGAACCAAGCGTGCCTAAAGCTAGCCAGCCGGCTGACTTGAATTCGAGATCTTTTGCTCCGTGTGCTCCAGTTGCTGCTTCCAGGGGGGCCGTAGTTCTGGGACCGTCAAGGGATGATGCCTTTACTAACCCCCTTCCTGCGCTCGGAGCTGAACCCAAATCCCTGCCTGATAAGCCTTTAGACTTCTTGCATTGGGTTGGTAGTTTTTTAGGTATTTTGGGGTCCCCTCGGATTGGGCTTGGTTCGTTCACTTACCTGTCCTTAGGGCCCCCCGCCTGCGCTGGACAGCAGGCTCGAAACCGAGCCAGCGAGATATGGCCGGTCCCGCCTCCGCCGCGTGGCCGATGGACCGCCTCTGCATATGAAACCCGGCCAGGACCAAGGCGCCGCCGCCGCCTTCGTAAATTAGCCCTAGTTCGGGAATTAGTTCGCCTCCAAGTTTGCACCCTCAATTGGTTGTCCCTTGGTTGTCCGACTAAGCCCCCCCCTCATGCTAAAGCTGGCGCCTATGCCTGGACGTCAGCTCAGCACTCAGCTTTGGAGACCCTGGAGCGGTTGACCGCCCATTTTGTCTCAGCCGAGCCATTGTCCGCATCGTCCTTGGGCCGTTCTGCCGAAAAATTTGATGACCTTTTCGGTTTAGCGACTCGCTTGCGCACAGTTGAGGTTGAGGGCCCGAATGGCTTTAACGACTTGGTGGGTCAATTAGTTTCCTCGCTGCATGAGTCTTGGGGATCTTACGCAGGCTCCGGGCCCCGATTCCCTAAAGGTTCCTCTCCTAATTTAGGAACCCCTCCAAACCCAGCATGTCAACATGACCACACCATCTCTCCTAGTGGGATCTCGGGGAACCCTCGGTTGGCCAATCTGGCCCTCCCTTGACAAGCCCCGTAGCAAACTCTGCTAAAAGTCACATAGGGGCCCCACTAAAGAGGGCAACGTCGCCTTTGGAGCCCAAATCTGACTTGGTGAGCCCGGGAGAAAAATTAGCCGACCTCGGTAACTGCCGTGTTGATTCGGGACTGGCTTGCAAACCTGTCCTAGCCGAAAGGGTTAAATGGACTTTGCCTCCTTCATTTGACCCAGTGCCCTTCTTGAGCGATCCTGTGGTCAAAGCCACGTACATCGAACCCGACACATTGCGGGCTGCGCCTGATGAGTGGCCGAAGCTGCCTGCAGCAAGAGTGCATGCTGATCGTCACGAGTTGCTAGCCCTGGCTGCCAAATGGGATTCCTTCGAGGCCCTTCAGTTGATTCCAGTGGGGCTCGTTGATGAGCATGAGGCTTGTGGTTGCTTTTGCATTCCCAAGGATTCGGAGTTCGACAGACTCATTCTAAACCCCACTGTCATTAACTCTAGGACTAAGCCCTACGCTAATTTTACGAAGTCACTAGCTCCGGGGTGTCTCTTGACTTTAGCAAACATTCCTGATGAGAATCACTTCATGCGCTTCTGTGCCGATGATTTGTCCGAGATGTATTATACTTTCAAGGTCAGTTTCAGTCGAGCAAAGAGAAATAGTATCAGGATGAAATTTGCAAAGCATGAGGTCAAGCATTTGAAGTGCTTCCAAAATGCCCCCAGCAGTGATTTCTACTTTTTAGCCCTAGGGGCTTTAGCAATGGGAGACAGCATGGCTGTGGAATGCGCCCAACAGGCCCACTTTAATGTCTTAAATGAACTTGCGCACTGCATGCTCCCCCATGAACGGGTGTCCTACCGTTCTCCGCTTCCGCGATCGCCAGTGTGGGAGTTCCTTGCAATCGATGATCATTTCACAGCCTCGGTGCTCTGCAAGAAGACCCATTCTCTCAGCACGCCTGCCCGTGACACAGCCATCTTCAGCGCTGCAGAGGTGGCCTACCAGACCGTCGGCCTTGTGCAACACCCTCGGAAACGTCAGAGGAACGTAACTTCGGGGACTTTCCTTGGAGCCGAAGTCGATGGCATTTTGGGTTTAGTAGGTGCTCCTAGGCATAGGGTTTTAGTGCTTATGGTTATCACAGCCATTGTCGTGCAGCGAGCCTGTGCGTCCGCTTCCCTGCTGTCCTCTCTGTTGGGGTTGTGGATACATGTGGCACTCTTCCGGCGACCGGTGCTGGCCCTTTTGCAAAGCTGCTTTGCCGATGCTAGGCGTGAACCTAGGCACAAGGTCTACCCTCTTAGCCGCGCCTCAGTCAATGAGCTCATGGCAATGTGCGTGTTGGCTCCCACCTTCGTTGCTGACCTTCGTGCCAAGTACGTGGACTCCCTCTTTGCCATGGACGCGTCGCCCAGCGGCGCGGGACTTGTTTCGGCTCCGCTGCCTCCAGGGGTGGCTTCTGAACTCTGGCGACATTGCGAGCAACGGGGTTATTACACCAAACTGCTTGGTCCTGCCTCTGCACTCCTGGAAACCATGGATGTTGATGCTGAACCTGTCTTCGGCGACCGTGCCACCGCCTCCGTGCCCAGTGTCTTTCCCTTGCACGCTTCGCTGCAAGAGGGCGTGCTCTTTGACTGCGTGGAACTTTTTGCTGGTTGCTCGAACTGGAGCTATGCTCACTCCCAGGCGGGTCTCTCTGTGCATCCAGGTGTTGATGTGTCCGGGCGCGTCTTGCGCTTCATGGATGTTAGTTCCAACAATGTGTTCCATGAGCTTCTTAGCCTCGCGCTCCGGAAGGTGGTTCGCGAGTGGCATGCTGCGCCGCCATGTCTAACTTACGGCACGCTCAGGCGTCCGCGCCTCCGCTCTAAAATCCAACCTGCGGGCTTCAACCCCAAGGAACCCCTAACCTATGCCCATAACCAATTAGCCATGCGCACAGCCTTTCTCATGTCCGTGATCGCCTCTCTTGGGGGCTTTTACAGCGTCGCGCAACCGGGCTCGAGTGTCATGTTTTATATGCAGTGTTTTGTGAGGCTAGCGGTCTTGGGGTCGGTGTTAGTGAGGTTCTGTGCCTGCAGCTTTGGTGCGCCTTTCAAGAAGCCTCACCAGTGGCTCACAAACAAACCTTGGCTTCTTCAGTTGAGTGGCCCCTGCAACTGCGGTAAGGGTTCTGGGCATTTCATAGTCGAGGGCACTTTCACTGCTGCGCGTGTTGCCGAGTTCAGCAAGCTTTGCAGGCCAACTCCAGAGGCTGTGTTCGGCCGCACTCCTCGGGTTGGTGAAAGTGTCTCGGCCTTCTCTGCGATGTATCCCTTATCACTGGTGCGCCGCATGGCATCAGGCAGCTTGCAGTCCAAGTTGGGCCAAGTCCCGGTCCTTCCTTTGTCCGCAAGACATGCTACCCTTAACACCTTGACTTTAGGTGGTTTAGGTCCCTTGCCCCCTTGCGACCCTAGTGAAGGTTTAAAGCCAGAGCCACGTCCCTTCTATGAAGATCCCGAGTGGGTCGGTGAGCTAGCTGACAGCCTGGAGTTCAAGGAGCTCCTACGCTACCCGTTTCGGGGGCGAGAATCACATCAACATCTTGGAGACAAGGTCCTACAAGACTTGGCTGAAGTGGTGCTCCACTCGGCACCCCAATAGTAGGCTTTTGGGTCTGATCGATAGCCGGGTGTTGCTAGGCGCCGCCTCGAAAGGCCGTTCTTCAAGCCCTGCACTTTGTCACATCCTCCAGTCCGCACTCCCCTACGTGCTCGGATCCGGTTTGTATCCCGGGGGGTTGCATGTGTACTCTGCGCACAATCGGAGCGACGGGCCCTCTCGCAACACCAGTGTTGCTCCTCCGACGAAGGAGCGCCCGCTCTGGCTTGAAGCTTTAGCCAAAGGTGACACCTACTTGTTCGACTTGTGCCTTGCAGCCTCACACGTCCCCCGTGTCGCAGGCCGCTGGCTGCGTCTTCTTTTGCTTGTTGCTGGCGACATCGAGAGGAATCCAGGTCCTTCCAGCAGGCTCCGGCCAAGAGGCCCTCTCGACTTAGAGTCAGGCTTCGCGACCTCGACCAAGCACAAGATGCGGAAGGCCCTTGAGGCATTCGTGGTTTGGCTTGAGACTGAGATGTGTCTTCAGTTCGCTGCTGTTATGTCGGCGTCACAATCTGCAGCGCTCGCTTTGCGTGCTTATGGCTTGCATCTGTATTCGGCAGGATACCCGAGGTATCTCTATGTGTATGCCATCACGGCAGTGCAGGATCTTCATCCCGAACACCGAAATCAGCTAACGCCTGCGTGGCAAGTGGATAAAAAATGGCAAGCAGCGGAACCAGGCGAATGTCGTCCGGTCATCTCCCAGCCCATAGTGCAAGCGGCAGTAACACTTGCCCTTTGCTGGGGCTGGAATGACTGGGCTTGCCTGACTCTCATTGGTTTCCTCTGCATGTTGCATCCCGCTGAAATGATCCCACTCACACGCCGGGATCTAGTCCTTCCTTCCGATGCCATGTCTACAGATATGCTAGCCTACGTGCACCTGCGTAATCCCAAAACGCAACGGTTCGCGCGCAGACAGCACTGCCGCTTGGAGGACCCCTTAACACTTCGATTCTTGATATCTCAGTACGAGCATCTCCCTTTGGATGCCAAACTCTTCAGAGGCTCTATGCACATGTACAGGACTCAGTGGAACGCCATCATGCAGCGCCTGGGAGTGCCTCACACCCTTTCACAGAAGGGTGCCACCCCAGGCGTGCTCAGAGGGAGCGGTGCGACTTTCCTATATCTCGAGACCGAAGACATTAGTCTTGTCGCATGGAGAGGACGATGGGCCAAAATAAAAACAGTCGAGTTTTATCTACAGGAGGTTGGTGCACAACTCCTTTTGCAGGAACTCCCACGTTGGGCGCGGGACCGCATTAGCGTTCTACGTCGCTATGCTCGACCGCTGCTCCTTCTGTCCATAGCCTCAAATCAAGTGGGTCAAGCCCAAGGACCCTGAGAGTGGATAGTACTTTGATGGCCTCGCAACTCCCCAATCCCTTAGGGTTCTTTCGGTTTAGGCCCGTCGTCCCCTCTTGGGTTGCCCGTAGTTACTTGGCCACCAGAGCCTGCGCCCTCTCGGCGCTGACACAGAACTTAGCGATGGCAGGCGAAAAGAGAGGGATGCAATATATCCCTTGATTGAGTAAATCCTTCGCTACTTCAAGCGCAGCGTTCTGGGCCCACCCACTGCCGCCCGATAGTACTTTGATGGCCTCGCAACTCCCCAATCCCTTAGGGTTCTTTCGGTTTAGGCCCGTCGTCCCCTCTTGGGTTGCCCGTAGTTACTTGGCCACCAGAGCCTGCGCCCTCTCGGCGCTGACACAGAACTTAGCGATGGCAGGCGAAAAGAGAGGGATAGGGTTTAGGGTTTAGGGGTTTGGGTCTTGAGGGTTTAGGGTCTTAAGGGTTTTGCATGGTTCTGGGTTCGTTGGGTCCATTCAGCACCGGCCTCTTGTTTTATAGGATTCTGTAGCATCTGCGACAGTACATCGTGGTAGCCTAAGTTAAGGTCTATTCTCCCAAGACCGGGGTACTCCCATGGCACGTGGAATGCTCCCCTAACATACTCCGATCCCTACTCTCGCGAGGGGTAGCCTCTGTTTTTCTGGGCCCCAAACCCTAACCCCCTTGAAGGGCACGCCCTATTGTGGGATCCCCCCCGTCCCCCTCCCCCACTCCCCCGTCGTCGTTTCTTTCCCGAGACAGCAAGGATGCTTGCTTCCTACCCTGCCTCACCTAGTCAGGTCTAGGGTTTAAGGTCTACGGTTTCAACCCCACGCCCTTCAGCAACCCTCGTGGCTAGGTTGGAACTCGGCCTATCCCCGCGGTGCCGCCGTCGGCGCTCTTCTGCACAGGCACCGGTGATTCATATGGATCTACGGGTCAAGGGAGCTCTGGGCTTGGGGTTCTTAGGTTGGGGGTTAGAGATTCGGGGATCTTCGGCCTTAGGACTTGGGGCTCCTTCAAAGGACCTGTTGAAATAGTATTTGGGTTCAGCTGGGGGAGGGAATCGGCTCCTTGGGTCTATCAAGGAGCACTTCTTGGAGTTGAGGGTGTCAGGAAAGTGCCCGTAATAAGCCCCAAACCCTCAACCCTCAACCCTCAACCCTCAACCCTCAACCCTCAACCCTCAACCCTCAACCCTCAACCCTCAACCCTCAACCCTCTACCCTGAACCCTAAACCCTGAACCCTACTGCATACTGTTAGCTAACTGCCATATGGGTAGTTTCCTAAATTAGGGTCCCCCTTTGGGTACACATTATAAGGCGGCACCCTAAAAGGGGATCCCAAAAAGGGTTTAGGGTTTAGGGTTTAGGATTTAGAAAACTACCCATATGGTACATCTTTCTGCGCCTGTGGCCCAGCACCTACAAAGAGCTCGGGCGGCGGCCGAGTTTTCGAGGGATCCACGTCAAGAGAGCTCTTTACGAAAGACTTGCAACCCTTGTGGGTTTAGGGTTTGGGGTTTAGGGTAGGGTTTAGGGCTTAGGGCTTAGGGTCGTAATTACCAGGCTTCATTTTCAGTCAAAGATTGTTTTCTGGCATCGACCCCGAACCGAAGAGGGTTTAAGGTCAACCCTTCAGGCCTTTCAAGCCCCCATCACCCCAAATTGTCCGATGATTGCTTCAACCCTCAACCCTAAACCCTCAACCCTCAACCCTAAACCCTAAACCCTAAACCCTAAACCCTAAACCCTAAACACTCCACCTATGGACCTGAACCTACCTGTCGGGGGCGCAGGGCTCGAGCCGCTCCGCTTCTATGCACCTTTGCCTGCAAGGGCTCTTTTAGGGTTTAGGGTTTAGGGTTTAGGGCTTGGGGTTTAGGGTTTAGGTTTGGGGTTTCGGGGTTAGGGCTTTTGGGTTAGGGTGTGGGGTTGAGAGCGCCAACCCAAAATATAGGCCATTCTGGGACACTGTTGTCTGGGTAGGGTCCTTGGGCATTTGGGATGGTGAGGTCCTTGGGCATTTGGGATGGTGAGGGTGTGGTTTGGGGGCTTTAGGGTTTCCTCAACCGCCGTTACTTAGGAGGAGAATGGGGGCAGGGATTTGAGCTTGGTCTTTGAACCGAAGCGGTTAACCCATAGCTTTCTTTCTGTGGCTGTTGAGGATCTGAAGGGTTTCCATGCAATGCAGGGGTTGACCTCCCTTTTGGCACTTTGTGAGCTTTTCTTGGGACAGCACGCAGGCGGTCTCCCTATGAGCAGATTGGGAGCGGGGGTGTAGATGCCTTTGTGCCATTGCAGCCTGTTCGATGAGCATTGCGGCTCGGTCCGCTGTGTATGGATTTGGGATCCGTAAGGATTCCCTAGTCAAGAGGGCGGGAGTCCGCTGGGAGTCTTTTTGGGGGGTAGAAGAAGCCAGCCCTGCCTCAATGGGTTTGCTCTTCTAAGGCAGACTGGTGGCCAAGTGATGCAGAGGAGCCGCAGATGAGTTGCTGATCGTGTGACACTTGTGTGCAGAGCATCAGCAGCCCCTGAACCCGAAGCCCCTGCACCCTAAGCTCTAACCCGAAGTCCTAAACCCTAAACCCTAAACCCTAAACCCTCCTAAACCCTAAACCCTAAACCCTAAACCCTAAATCTAAACCCTAAACCCTAAACCCTAAACCCTAAACCCTAAACCCTAAACCCTAAACCCTAAAAGTCTTAAGCCCTGGTAAAGGACTGCGTCTTCGTGGCCTGGCAGCTGGATGCGCAGCTGTTGCCCAGGACGCGCTTGCGGGTTCACAGGGCTCACTTGGGCCCATGAGTTCTACTTGGAGGTTCCGTAGTGCATGGTACACAGAATGCTTTTAGGCGGTTGTTCCCCCCCCCACTTCTGGCACTTGCAACCCAACTTATGACTACCCCATGAAGCCTCAAGTACAGCCCGAACCCTGAGCCCTAAACCCTAAACCCCAAACCCTAAACCCGAAACCCTAAACCCCAAGCCCCAAAAATGAGCTTCCTCGAGGACCGCGGGGTTCACGGCGGACGGCCTCTATGAGGAAGCCGCTCCTGGGGGCGACTGGGAGACGAAGTGCATGCTGTGCCCCGGGGTGTCGGGGTTTAGGGTTTAGGGTTTAGGGTTTAGGGTTTAGGGTTTAGGTAGCCGAAACCCTAAACCCTAAACCCTTGTAAGCCCTACACCCAAAACCCTGAACTTTAAGCAGCCATATCACAGCCCTCGTGCCCTCGTGCTGTGCGAGAAGTGTCGAGGTACGACCGAAACATCATGGTGCGGCGCTGAGTTGTGATACGAGTCCGTCGTTCAGCAGGGTGCCTCCATAGAGGGTAAGAACCTCCGCGCCTTGCGGCGACCTTTGCGGCAATTTGTGGTTCCCTAAGCCTTAAACCCTAAACCCTAAATCCTAAACCCTAACGAGCTCGCCAGCCCCGGGGGCTTCTCCCGGTCATCGCAAATTTGGAACCTGGTGACCAGCAGGGGTCGATTGCGTGGTCCTTGCCTTCGGGGTTGGGTATCCACTAGGCTGTAAATACACAACCTAAAACACTAAGCCCTAAAGCCGTAACCTTAAGACCCTAAACCCTCAAACCCTAACGCTAAAACCCTCAGAGTCCAAAACGAACCGTAACAAGCCCCCAAAGAACCTTAAAGAACCCTAAGCAAACCCTAAACAAACCCTAAACCCTTTAAGCAACCCCTTGAAAAGCCCATGAACAAAGAACAAAACTTAAGAAAAAACAAAAAAAGTCGAAGAAACCCCATGGCAGCTACCCTAAACCCTAAACCCTAAAACCTTAAAACCGTAAACCCTAAACCCTAAACTTCACTCCCAGGAGTGCTGGGTGACGGATCTGCTTGCCAACCGGGACTACAAGATTCGAGCAGGGGGGCCCTGGGAGTTCTTTGGGGCTTCGGGTTTATAGGGTTTGGGGTTTAGGGGTTTAGGGGTTTAGGGGTTGAGGGGTTGAGGGGTTTAGGGGTTTAGGGGTTTAGGGGTTTAGGGGTTAGGGGTTGGGTTTAAAGGTTTTGGGGTTTAAGGGTTGGGGTTTGGGGGTATAGGATTACACAACACAGGGCTTGGGGCTTAGGGCTTAGAGTTTAGGGCTTCGCCTCAGGGTGGGAGCGTCTTCAAATTCAAGAGAGCTCTAGAGTCACGGGGCGCATGGGGATGGGGGGGGGGGGGGGGGGGCGCTCAACACCAACAGGACCCTGCCACACGATGTGACTTCCTGCCTGAGGTCCGTGAGACTTGCACGGATCCGTTGGCCAACAGCCCCTTCTTTGCAAGGCACGCCGCATTGAGCCCTGAAATCCTAAATCCTGAGCCCTCAACCCTAAACCCTAAACCGTAAACCCCTAAACTCTAAACCCTCAACCCTAAACCCACCCACTTTCGGCCACCTTCAGGTACCAGGAGTGCTCGACCCTGACGATGCCCGCCTTTGATCCAGAGAACTTGACTGCCTTCAACGAAGACCTCTACACGTTCGAGGCTTGATTGCCCCAGTGAGAAACAAGAAAAATCAATGGCAACAACAATCTTGCAAAGAAGATTCAAACGCCCACTTCATACATACTCACAGTGCGTGCGTATGCCTCCGCAAGGCCCTTAGCCCGAGCGTGGGCGCTCATGATGCTCGACGCGTGCCGGGGCGAAGGGGGAAGTGTGCAGGATGGCAAGAGGCCGGTCTCCGCCCACAACGCTGCTGATGCTCGTCCCGTGATCCCGCAGATGGATGACGCGCCCCCCTAAGTGCGAGCATCGTCGATCCGTGGACGTGGCTATGTTTACGGTGCCCATCGGCAAAATGCGTGAGCCACGGTACTTGCTGTGCTGTCTACACTTCCGGACGCTCCCAAGACTCTGTGCCCGAGCCGCTGATGCTCATGATGCTGCACCCCCCCCCCCTCCCCGAAAAGTAAGAAGCTCCACGAGACCCTACCCAAAAACCCTTCAAAACTTCCTCGAAACTAAAACCTCCAGAATATTAGCTTTAGATCCCACAAAGCCTCAACCCCCCTCAGCCCTTACCCTAAAGCCTAAGCCCTAAACCTCAAAACCCTAAACCCTAAACCCCTAAACTTTACACAAAGCCCTACCAGCGAGCAGGTAAGCTGGAGCCCTGGTGACCCCAAGGCCTTGGGAGTTGAAGAGTTTAGGGTTTAGAGTTTAGAGTTTAAGAGTTGAAGAGTTCAGGGTTTAGGGTTTAGGGCCAAAGTTCAGGAACTGTTTGCCCGAACCCCTGAATTTTTGGGACCGGTTTGAAGCGATTGATCCCGGCAGTTTGCATTGGTAATGCTTTTTGATGCGCTACATCTTTAAGCATGTGCATTGTGTCAAGTGGCATCGCCCGATCATGCCTAGACCCTAAACCCTAAACTGCAAACCCCCAGCCCTAAACTCCCAACCATAAACCCTAAACCCTAAACCCCCCTGAGCCGGCCGCGCAGCCAGGCCTGTATCTTCCAGTATTGGGACGTCCAGGTTAAGGCCCGGCTCGACTTTCTAGGGTTTAGGCGCTAGGGTTTAGGGTTTAGGGTTTAGGGTTTAGGGTTTAGGGTTTAGGGTTTAGGGTTTAGGGTTTAGGTTTAGGGTCTGGGGATTAGGGTTCCGGGAGCTCTTGTTCCGGAGTTAAGTTGACAAGTTGTTGGAATGACCAGCAGAGGCTGTCCGAGTCCTGAATGGCTGGGACGTTCACCCCTTATACTAACAGTCCTTCCTAGGGATTACAATTAATTCCTATTCAGGACTGTCAGTATAAGGGGGAACATTCTAAGGTGTTATTACCTGCTCTGCCGTCGCTGAATCGGCAGGTCAACGACACGGACTGGCCTTCAGGTCGCTTCCTTAGAGATGCTTCCTTCGGTGCGCAAGGCCGCAGAAGGAGGCTGAACCCTAAACCCTAAACCCGAAACCCGAAACCCTAAACCCTAAACCCTTGAATCCCAGGCCCCCTTTTCTTCAGGTGATGACCCAGCGACCTTCGGGTGTCGGGTCCTGCAGCGGGGTCGGACAAACTGCACCGCCGCAACCCTAGCAGGGTTTAGGGTTTCGGGGTTTAGGGTTTAGGGTTTAGGTTTGGGGTTCACTTTTGACAAGTTTGGGCGTTTCGAGGTGTTGAAATTTTAGGGTTCATTATTCTAGGATTTCCGGTCCAAACCGTTTGCGGGGGTTGTGGAGGGACATGAAGGCTGAACCGAGAAAAGGTGCACCAATTTTCGAGGAATCGCGAGGTTTGCTGGCAAGACAAGTTCGGTGCAAGAAGTTCTCGAGTCCTCGCCAGAAGCGCCCCCAAACGAGGTTCACGTCGGCTTGAACAGCGGCAAGGCCTTCCAAGTTCGAATGCGCCCGGGCCATGGCATGCACTGGAGCACCTCATAGCTTCAGGGTTTGCGGAAATGTGGGCAGTTCCCCCACGCGGTCCCTTCGTCTGGTACCCCTAGAAGAGAGGGCTCTGTATCATCGGAAGCCCAAAAGGGGACCCTAAACCCTAACCCCAAATCCTAAACCCTAAACCCTAACCCCAAACCGACAACCCTAAACCCTAAACCCTAAACCTTAAACTTTGGTTTAGAGAAGGCCTCAAGTCAGACTCTCAGCCTGTCTCCCAGGTGAGGCCTGCACCGTGAGGCGGCTCTACACGAACTGGGCAACTTGGCTTTGGCGGGTTTGGGGTGTGCAGTTTGGGGTTTGGGGTTTAGCACTTTAGGGTAGCTGCTTTTTGGTGCCATGTACGTTTCCAGAGACATCCCATGCTCGACATCATGTACATAGGTCTATGTAGACACCTTTGA